CCCAAATTTGCTTAAGCGTGTTTTAAATTAGATAATTTTTATTTAGAGAGGTCGAATTCAATTGGCGTATATGACCCTCCATAGCCCCCGATTTATCATCAACCAAACCAGTTTTTCTTTCTAATACCGTATTTTCTCTAATAGTAGTGCACCGCGGCGAGCCGAGTTGGTGACTATTTTACGGTTTCCAAGCTTTTGCAGAAGCTCAACAGTCTGATCCCCCGCAAGATCTCATCGTCAACTACATTTTCTGATCCCACATTGATAGGTTCTGATAAGCGGTTCTCGAGATTTCGGGCGATTTAGGCGACGCTCAGGGTGCATTTACTATTAGAGAGAATACGGCAAATATGTTTTATGAAAAATACGAAAAATTATACTAACTTTCAAGTTGTCAATCTAATAGCTTGATTTAAGGACACTGTGATAGCTTGATATTACTATGATAGCTTGATTTACTGTCTCCTAACTTGAAACTTTGACTCTATGAGCTACAGTAGTACAGTGGCGGCTAACCTACAGACTTTTAACCAAACTGTTATAGCTTGTCTTGTCGAAAAATGAGCACACGTTCTTCCTTTCATTCATCAATCACTTTGTCTCCCATTCACTCATTCAGGATCGCGTATTTGCGCATCGTGGGAGTCTCCGGGGGAAGTGCTCTTCTTCTCTTCTTCCCTTCTTCCCTTCTTCTCTTCTTCTCTTCTTCCCTCATCTCATCTCATCCCCCCAGGCCTTCTCTCATCTCTTCCCGAAAAGATTCCCGTAGAGCGATTGTTTTTGTCCATATTTGTCTTCAGTCCATCTTTGAGACCACTTTTTTTTCCTCCTTTCTTTGATCATTTTAAACAACGGTCTTCTCGCTTTCGCAACACCGTTTAGACTAAATTTTGTGAAATATTTATCGATATTTTTGTTTTTCTCAGGCAGAAGTGTTAATGAATTTTATAAAGATACAAAAATTAGTCTAAACTGTCCATCGATCCGATCGATCGATGCCAAATGCATTTGGACAGGCGATCGATCGGATCGATGGACAGTTTAGACTAATTTTTGTATCTTTATAAAATTCAGCAAAAAAGTTTTCTTTTTCTAAATACGATGTGATTTTACGCTTTAGAAAATAAAAGCCGCTTGCTAAAAAGAATTTGGCGAAGCGCTCGTACATGACTAGTTCAGATTAGAATGTGTTTTTATGCGTTTAATGCGTTTTTTAAAGCGCACACTTGGGAAAAAATTACCGTACTTTTAGCAAAAATTATTGCAAAAAAATGACGCAAAAATGACGAGCCCCACATTATATACGAGACTTTTTAAAGATACTCAGCCATTTAACTGATTTGGCGGGGAAATTCCCTTCAAATGTAAAAAATGATTTTTTTTTGAAAAACCTGCGCAAAAAATTGCTTTTACCGTATTTCTTCCAATAAAAGACCGGGTAAAGAGTATGATCGCGTACTCCTGCGTAGCAGCCCTTTTTAAAATTTCTTTTCTGCATAAAAGCTTTCAATGAAGTGCTATAGAGCTGGAAAATGGCTCAAAAATCTGTTAGCTCATGTGGTATCATTTTCCAGCCCTATAGCACTTCATTGAAAGCTTTTATGCAGAAAAAAAAGGGTAGAAAGAGTATCATCGCGTACTCCTGCGTAGCAGCCCTTTAAAAAGGGCTGCTACGCAGGAGTACGCGATGATACTCTTTACCCGGTCTTCTATTCGAAAAAATACGGTAGTTTACTGTTTCAAAAGCAAATTTTAAGTCTATAATTGTTTTGCATTCTTTTCACTTTTATTTTCACAACCTTTTAGATATAAAGAATATTATTTTTTGATCCAAATGAGACAAAGACAAAGAAATAACGTTCGATACAACTTTTTTTTGATAGAGGGTTAAGTTAAGATATAGCCTAGTATTGTGTGTGTCGTTGTATTGTGATTGATATATTTCGTGTATGCGATAAATTCACCACTGGTAGCCCCAGTCGGTATTTTTATAGAGCGAAGCATTTTTTTTATTCTTTGCAATTCGTTATATCGAAAGTCGAGTGTTTAAGTGGACTCTAGTAAGAAATTGTAAAATTTACCTTTCAAAACCAAATCATTTAGTTAGAAACTAGGATTTATTGGAATGAAAGATGAAAGTTTAAAGATTTTTTTGTTGAAAAAAAAGCTAATTGCCGTTTCCCGTTATTTATAAAACAGTCTACTTTTTTAAAAAATTGTTTCTAAATTCCCGACCAGCTGTCTCCATTTTTTCCAATCAATCATCAACATTTTTAAAAAAAAATCTGTTTTATTTGGATGTTCGCATGTTTTCAGCAAAATTTTCTTTTTTTTAAAAAAATCCGTTTGATTTGAATGATTTGAATGTTTTCATTTCCCTTTTTCCGAAAGATTTGAAAATTTGATAGCAACAAAATAACAAATTTCATTCGATTCCATTCGCTTCATCTCATTATTTCTCATTTTACTTTCATAACTCTCTAGTTGAGTAGAAAGATTTCTGTGAAATGACTTCTGGATGGAATAGATCACGGAGAGGCACGATTTTATTGAGATTTTCGATTCAAATATTGATTATAACGATTCAAATATTATTATAATGATTCAAATATTGATTATAATGATTCAAATATTGATTATAATGATTAAAATATTGATTTTCTACTTGTCTTTACATTCAAAAAACTAAACTTACTTGTTAGTGCCAAATAGAAATCACCGATCAAGGCTATTCTAGTATTTTTGAAGTTTTACAGTTAAAGATAACTTGAGCCAATCGTCTCTTTGAAAATCAAACACTTAAAAGCAAGAAAAACAAGAAATGTAAACTGTAAAAACTGTTTGTATATGGTTTGTGCCAAGTGGAAATCGATGAAGAGGGGAAAGGAAAGGAGAATTGAGCATTTCAGAATTCACTTTCACTTTCACAAATAGAAATATAGAAAATTTTGTGAATTTTCTCGTTGGCATTAGCTCATTTTAAGCGCCCGCTTCAAAAGCTATGTCCACAAAAGCGTTGAGTAATTGAACCAAAAACGTATCTCACTGAATTCTCCAACTTTTCCTTTTTTCTGTCATTAAATCATCATGAAAAACTTTCTATGATTTCTAAATTACCATTTAATTTACTCTTTAAATCAATTGGCCAAAATGACTCAAAGCTAGAAACGTTTGAACTGAAAACGTACTTCAAGAATCATCTTCTTGTCTCTTTTCCACTTTTAAATCCCTTTTCCTATCCTCATCTAGTGTGGATAAACACCCAGAGACAGGAAGAAACAAGAATCACGCAAATATCGAACGATTTCTTCGTCTTTTTTCCCACTTTCTCTTGTCCTTTCCTCTTCAACCACTCATTTGTGCAACATTCTTCCCACTTATTACTTGTTGATTTTGTGCTGAGCGGTTCTTTGAGCTTAGAATTTGAGGAAAAGTGACAGAACTTTTTTTGCTTGACTTGCTAATCTCTTGTCTGGAAATTTGCATGGATTTTATTTGAAAATGACTATTTACTGTAGCTATGGATTAAAGATGTAAATTGTACTCTAGTTTTGAGCTTGAGCTCAATTGTTGAGTGGAAAGTTAACCAGAAATTAATATATTTTTGGTGCTATAGTAGTTGGCCAATGTACATTCATCTCTATTGAGCCAATTTTTGCTTCTATGGTTTTTAATGGCGTGGATTCATAATTTAGCATTTATTTAAGCTTTAGTCACTGTTTTCTAGCTATTTCCAGTAGTTACTTACCGTAAATACTGTGATAGTACCCCACCTCCATAGTGACGGTGTGGAGTGTTGCGTAGTCTAGCTTTGAACGAGTTTTTCTCGACACTGGTTTATGCTACAATGCGCACTTAGGTATCAAAAAATAGCCCTGAATTTCAGCTATTTTTTGATACCAAAGACGCATTTTTTGAAAGTACGGGCGCTTTGAAAAAAATGAAATACTAAAAAACTTTTGCGACTACATGACTGTACGAGGGGGGTGGGGTACTATTACAGTATTTACGGTAGGTTTTAAGCCTCTTAATTCGGTCCCACACCTCTAAACCCAGTGGAAATCTGAGCAACTCTTGAAGGCTCGGTGTTGTTGCTCAAACTGGCATAAAAGTTGTTCAGAATGATTTGTGAATGCTTCCAATGGATTCAGTGCAATTAATTACCCCATAAAACATTTTAAAAACTAGTGGCAAGTTGGAAAAAATGATATTTACAAACTGCCTCCCCCAACTACTATAGCACCTATCTTTTTAAGTATGATATTCTAAAGTTGTATGTATGTTTGCAAATTTGATTTGTCATCGTTTTCAAAAGCACTGCTTTATAAAAACTTAAACATCTACAAAAGACCTAGGTTTTTATTTTCATATTTCCTTAATGCTGTTTAAAATTTTTTTTCAAAAATTTTAGCTGACCTTTTTCACATTTAAAATTCGAAACTCCATTGTTCCAAGCAGCCGTTTCACTCGTAGAAACACTGAATTTTCCATGTGACTCGAAAAAATCTCGTTGCCAATAGTTTTTTGTTCTTGAAATGCTCTCCCATCATCCGGGGATGACTACTTTGCACCAAGCTTTTTACGCAACTCGCCATAACTTTCTTCTAGGTGGGCCAGTCTTTATGTTTTTGGTGTTATTTTGTTGCACTTGTTGAGATCTACAAAATGCCACCAAAATCATAAAGATTGACTAACTTAGAAGAAAGTTATGGCGAGTTGCGCAAAAAAAAATTGGCGCAAAGTAGCCACGCCTTCATTATCATTTTGGAAAAATTTGCTTTTCAAAATAAAAACTGATCATAAGATATTTAGCATTTAGTATTTAGTATAAGATATTTCTGCAAAAACAGTCTAACACTTTACAACTTTACATTAAGTGTAAAAACACTTTACATTAACTTTAACTTTTCGAATTTGTTTTTTTTTTAGTTTCAATATTTTACCCTTGTAAATAAGTTGTTTTATACAAAACCCCATTTTTTCAGGTCGATGAATCAAAGATGAAGTCGTTAATCGATAATCTAGTCAAATTGGTCACCTCGTCCCTTCTGAATTGCTCGAATGATGGGGTGCCATCGTCCGAACATTTTCTATCGAGTAAGTACTTTTGTTTTTGATCCTAGTCATTTTACTAGATGTTTCCATTCTATGCTTTTCCATTCCATTCTTAAATTCGTTAAAAGTTTAATTTTAAAATTTTATTGCATCTTTTACTAAACTGAAATAGAAAATAATCAAGTTTTTATTTTAGATTTGACTCCCGTTTACATCATCACGCTTGCAGTCTGCTCGATAGTATGCATGGGCACGATTGCGATGGGAATTCTACAGGTATCATCTATTTAAATTGTCTATGATTTGATCTTTATTTGAATTAGTAGATTGTGATAGAATTAGTGCTGAAACGAATTAGGAATATGCTTATGTGATAATTTTTAGATCATGTACACGATGTTCTACGTGGGTCACCAAGATCGTCGACTCTTTATTGCGTATTTGGCAAGCACAGCACCAGTGAGTTTTAGATTAAAATGTAATGCGGTGCTACTAGGAAATTTGCACATATATATTTTATGTCCGATTTAGATTTCCGCCCGATTTAGATTGAACTTATCGCGGACGTTCGATTTAGATTACAGTCTATATCGGACGTCCGATTTAGATTCAATCTAAATCTTATATAGATTGAACAATAATACGTCTTATATAGATTGAACAATAATATAAACATGCTTAATATATGTTCTTGTTTTTTTTTTTTTTTTTTTTTTAAAAATTTTTTTTTTTTTTTTTTAAAAAAAAAAAAAAAAAAAAATATTTTTTTTTTTTTTTAAAAAAAAAAAAAAAAAAAAAATTTTTTTTTTTTAAAAAAAAAAAAAAATTTTCCTTTTTTTAAAAATTTTTTTTTAAAATTTATTTTTTTAAATTTTTTTTTAAATTTTTTTTTTTTTTTTTTTTTTTTTTTTTTTTTTTTTTTTTTTTCGGAAATAGTCAACACAGTAAAGAAGTCAACACCAACTGAAGTTGAATATTAAATACAAATTTCTATATATATATACATGCAAATTTCCTAGTGACCCCACCCTAGTGTAGTAGCACCCACAACACATTTTTTATCACCTCGCAACTTTACTCACATCAAAAGTTTTCTTTAGTTTGTGTCAGCCTTGTCTCTATGCGCGATGTACATGCCTCGGGTGTGGTTCCTCTCGCATCTCATCAGCTTTCTGTAAGGGTTTAATTGATTTTTTTCAGGGTAGAATTAAAATATATTATGTTTTTTTCGAATCGAAGCAGAAGTTTGACTTTAGGTACTTCTCGGTGGCGTTATGGATGATCATTTGCCTCTTGATGCAGATTTTTGAAGGACACAATTCGCTTGTCAACAAGGTAAAGAACCTTTTATGCAATTTTAAGATTAAGTACGTTAAGCAATTGTGGTTTTAAAACAAGATCAGTAACTTTTTGCGTTCAGATGCATGAGAGAGACATCGAAATCGACATCTCGACACCGCCATTCTGCTGTGTTTTCCCGTGTCTACCGAAAGTTCAACTTGAAGAGTTGGTTTTTCAGTAAAGCTCAATTACTTATAAACATAAACTAGCTTTTTTATTTTTCTCGCGCATTTTCAATTTAACAGCTAACTTTTAGGCGTAAAATCCGAGCGTGTGAGTGGCTGGTGTTGCAATGTCCGTGCGTTCGCCTACTCGCCACGCTCATCTCGCTATTCATCTATTTTGAGTACGGAAACGATGGCATGATGTAAGTCATTTGAAAAGTATTATGGAATCTAGTAAATGCTTTTAAAAGCTTGCCTCTAAAGTCGAATTTGTTGATGTTTTCAAATATTCAGACCGTTGAAAGTGCTCGATTTCATCGCCGTTCCCTCGGTGTTGCTCGGAATTTTTGGCATGCACATTCTCGTCACCACTGTATCGAATTTGGTAAGTTTTCTGTTTAATTTAAAATTTATTAAAAACTTCCAGGATGAGCTTTTAAGTTATCGATACATCGTTGTCTTTCGCTTGCTCGATCTTTTCTTCATGTTCTTTGGTGGGTTTTGTTTGTTAAAAGACTAAAACTGGTTGCTTTATAAAGATTTGAAGCTGAGTTAGATCTTGAAAGTTTATATTCATTTGATTACAGGTCTTCAACAACCAGTATTCGACTTTTTGGGACGATATGGTGCCTGGGGATGTGGCTCGGTTTTGCCGTATCTGGAGACAGCTTTTTGTAAGTTTTTGATTAAGAGTTTTAAAATCGCAATACCTTTAATTTAAAAAGCTTTCAACGTCAAAAATGAGCCTTTTTTTCAGGGTGGAAGAACGCGTTCACAGTGATCGAGGCCTTTTGCGTTACATTGCTCGCTTCTCTTCTCATTCAACCAAAGAGGTACTTTTAGTCGATAAAAGTAAAGAATTCAATTTCTGTGAAACTAAGACAATATTACTTTTTGAGTCTAATATGCTAAATCTGAAATAAGCTGGATAATAAAGGTTAATACGTGCATTAGTATCAAACTTGAAAATGGTACTAAAGAGCCTAATCACTCTTGCACTGATTTTGCGAATCTCAATCCGAGTTCTCTATCTAAAGTAGGCGACAATGGTTGTCTGTAGAATATGGTAGCCAGAAACTGTTAAGAATATTTAAGAAAATATAAAATGCATTCTTTTCTTTTAGATCAGCACTTTTCGATAAACATCCATCGATGCGCTCAATGGACTCCTCGATGCACACCGTTGAGGTGGCAATCAGTGACGATGAAAGTAAGGAGACCACCGCTTAGTCTTTATCCCTTTAAAATTTGCATTTAAACCATCCCCCAACTTCTACCGGTGTCCCCTCCCAATCGACTCTCACACAAAACCACTTTAAGCTAATATTTCCTTCATGTTAACCCGGCTTTTTCATCGAATACGGTAATTTTCCGAAAAATCTTAAAACGAGTATCGATTCTTGTGTTGTTTTTTTTCTTATCTAGTCCAAATCCCGGTTGAAAAGATTAGGTTTTTGAGATTGTCTTTGTTAAGACTTTGATAATATTTTTTTGATAGCTTTTGCAGTCCATCAAAGTCTTTACTATTCGACTTTTCGATTCTCACTGTGTTTTTGATGTGCATTTTACTTTCGATGCGAGAAATGGTGCTTTTTGCTTTTGGCCCCGTGTTCTTTTTAGGCCAAATTCGCTGTGATTTTGAGTTTCTCTGTGCTATTTTGCTGTTAATTAAGCCTTGCATCTTTATTAAGATTTAAAATTCATTTTTTCTATAGCAATAAGTTTTTAAAATCTTTCAAAATCCCAAAAAGTTTAATGCTCTTTCTCCCATTCGAAAACCGGTTTCGTTTTCCGTAGTTTACCTATTTCGAAAAAAGTTTCTCTTTTTTGATGATTCGTGTATATTTTTGTTTGGCTTTAAACGATAAAAACTTTAACAGAGTTTTAAGTTCTTTTATACAAGCAAATGTGACTTATTTAAATTATCTGTTATTATTTTTTTAAAGCTTGACCAGTGAAGCCCTGGAGGCTCCAGGAGGCGATAGACGAAATGCAGTGACTCGTATTCCTGGTAGTACGGTAGCTACCGTGCACTACGTTATCCCAAAAAAATTTCATCCAATAAAAAGCTAGAAGATTTATTTCTCAATCGTTATCAGTGCACAAAAAGACTAAACAAAAATAGAAAAGGCTTTGAAAATCGACGCATTCATCGACGATTTGAATCTGACTCAATTTGAAGATTGACGATTACTTCTTTTAAACGGCAACCTAAACGAGAGCTTGATTTACAATAATCAGAAGGAGATATACAAAAAGACAAGACTAAACTTACATCTGCATATGGGCTTTTCCGTTGAGAGCTTTTTATCGATTGACTTTGGGGTTTCGTTGTCCGTTCGGTCATCGAGGGATCGATAGCCTAAATGGTGGATTTGACTACCGTAACCCGTTACTCTATGCTCCGCTATTTAAGCAGTTACTCCATTACCGTGCTCAACTACCGTAATCCATTATCGTACCCAATCACTATAGATCATTACCATACCCAACTACTGTAAACCGATACCGTACTCAACTACCGTACCCAACTATCGTAACAGATTACCGTAAACCAGCTTTCGTGGCCCATTACCGTATCCAGATTCCGTAACCCGCTACCATAACCCGACTTCAATTCCAAAACTCACATTTGCATATGGGTTGAAGTGGGCGATGGAACTAGAACTTGGAAATTCTGCGTTGTTAGTACTTGTCCATACTAAAAGGAGGTAAATTTATGAAAAGCGGATAAATACTACCAATGCCTATATGAAAAAGAACTATTGAGTACGGATAAAACCACTAAAAACTTACCGATAAATACAGCAGAAACAGGTAGTTCCGATGGCACTGAAGCCGCAGAGAATCAACAAAATGCTGACGCTTTAATAATTTGGTTTCTAAAATTGAGAGGAGGAAGAGATCGGAGGAGGGATCAGCGACAGCACATTTTCTTCAAAACAGAAAGATCGTAACAGATTCTTTAAAAAAAACAGCTTAAAATAAGCTTGGATTAAGGGTGGGATCGTTTTGGAAAGAGCTACCGTACCTCAAATTGCATTTTACGGCTACAGTAAGCTTCGTAGCCGATTACTGTAGATTAGTCTGTAAGTAGATTACGGTAGCTTGCTCGTTTTTTAAAAAACGTAAGGAATTGAAATTTTTCAAAAGCTATTATTTTACGTGCCACAAATGCGCTTGGAGTTTCGCCAAAGCAATTTCCGTACGCATAAACTCACCCACAAAACAATACGGTAAAATTTGCATATTAAAAAGTACAGTAATTAACTATCTGGACATGAAAATTCTTGGAAATTCCAGAAAATTTTGCTTTCTCTACTCCGGCACCACTTTTGCTGTGAAAATAAAGCACGAAATCGTTTGCAATAAGAGAAATTGATTGAATATATTGAATATATTGAATAAATATTTATATCTATCAAATAAATGCGAATTTCTTGTGTTCTCAGGGGCATTTATATGTGCATTGACAGTCACACGAGCAATTCGAGGCGTCTAGCAGTCTGTAATGGAATAAGGTATTGAGTGCTCTTTGTGCGCGCGCACAATCGCTCTTCATTTGGCACACGGCCCTGGTACAAGCCCCTTGATTTTGATTCTTTTCACCTCACCGATTCGCTCTTTTGTGCACGACTCGTATCGGCTCTCTCCCATCACCACATTGCCGAATGCCGCACTCGCATTTGCACTCAGAGCAACCTATTGGATTCGAATTTAAAACAAATTTCGATAGATTTATGGAACCGTATTGGAACCGTATTAGATCAAAATAGGAAGCGTATTGGAACCGTTATATTAATGAAACTAGAATCGAAAAATCACTTACTTGACAAATTTTCATTAACAGATCGACTCTGAAAGCCGCAAATTTCGACTTTCCAAATGAGATCAACCAAACGACTTTCGGCATCGTATTGATGCCAACATTGAACACCGCGATAGGTTAAATCGGAGACGATTGAGTGCGAAAATGAACGCTGCAAAAGAGTTGTTAAAGAATAAAAGTCTTTATTCAATTACAGGACAATCACAGGTTTTTTCAGTTTCTTTTTGATACTTTCATAAATCTCTTCATTCTCTACTCAAAAAAACAACTGATTGGAGTCATTTAATTGAACAGAGTCAAACTTTAGAGAGCCAAAAAGCACGTGTTTAAGAGCGCATAAAGTACGCTCTAAAGTACATGCTGTGACTTACAGTAAGATTCTAAACACTTGTCTAACTGCACTATCCTTACAGTGATCAAAAAGATCTCAACTTTGTCTTATCAATCTTTATTCAAAAGTTTCACCTTTGGCATATTGATTTGATCATTAATGCACGAGATTGGATCGATTGTCACTGATGGCGATGAGCAGCAAATTGGATCAAGACTAGAAATTTCGTTCTGTTCATCTTTTCATCAAAAGTTCAATAGATAATGTTATAAGTCATAAAAAGATGAAGAAAATAGTCATGAAAGTTGTCGGAGTTCAAGGTCAATTTCAAGCATCATTTATACGATCGATTATCGAACCATTTTATTGAGAATAGAGAATTTTACTCGTTTTCTTTCTCACATTGTTGCTTGTGTCTCATTTTCCACGAGATACGCTTTAAAGCCGGACAACCAACTGTTCCCCGTGCATCCCTCAATGCCACCATTGCACTGAAAAACATGCGAAATTTTGCGATACACTGTAAAATTTGAATATTCTTTAATCTAGATATTTAGGAGAAAATATTGTGCTAAATATTTAGCGCCACCTTTTCGATTTCCATTCAAGATTACAAATTTACAGCTAAACCTCGTTCCAAAGTGAAGAAAACGTGAAAAGAACGACTACAGAAAAGTGCTAATTTCGCTTAGTTGTTCTTTGAATACCATTTTCTTCGCGAATTTTATTATATATTGCCTAAATTTGTTCATTTTCTCACTGTTACCGTGGTTTCTCAATAGTGCACCCCGGCGAGCCGATTTGATGACTATTTTACGGTTTCCAAGCTTTTGCAGAAACTCAACACTCTAATCCCCCACTAGATCTCATCCTAAGCTACATTTTCCGACTCCACATCAATAGGTTCTGATAAGCGGTTTACAAGATTTCAAACCTAGGCTTCCCCCTGGAACTTAGGGGAAGCCTAGGTTAGAGAAAACCCCGTAATCTATTAATATTAATGAATACCGTATTTTCTCTAATAGTAGTGCGCCTCGGTGGACCGATTTGATGACTATTTTACAGTTTCCAAGCTTTTGCAGAAGCTCAACACTCTAATCCCCCACTAGATCTCAGCATAAGCTACATTTTCCGACCCCACATCGATAGGTTCGGATAAGCGGCTCTCGAGATTTCGAGTAATTTAGGCGATGCTCAGGGGGGCACTACTATTAGAGAAACTACGTTAATCAGTAAAATTGTTGCTTCCATCCTGTTTTGGACAAATCTTAGTCCATTTTACTTAAATCTTTCCACATTTTAGCTCTATTATCGAATTTTTGCAAATAAATCAGTTGGTTGAAGTAAAAATAACAGATAAATTCTGGTTGGTTAACCAAAATTTATACGATAAGATTCCAAAAAAAACTGAAAGCCTTGATCCAAAGACATAAACTTTTCCTTAAGATAGAAACTTTTCAGTCAATCATCTTTTTTTAAACATTTCGAATGATAATTCAGCTTGATCTTGAAGAAAAAAACAAATGCGATTTTCGAAACCTGTGGCGATTTCGTCAACGAATCGCAGCTTGTCGTTGCCGCCTCTGAAATTGGCTCACATTCGATCGACAACGAGCCGAGGATGCTGAAAGTGTTCAATTTGATTAGAAAAAAAAGAATGAAAGAATATAGTAATATACTTTTTGCACAAATTTACACCTCAAATCTTTTTTTCCACAATGTGAAAGAAAAATCCAGATGTAAAAAAGTCTCTTGGGAATCATTTACAGTCATCATTTATCATTTACAATCTTTTCTTGGAACAAAAGGTTAAAATAGACCCCGTCAATAGATTTGCCGACCCTGAAAATCCCGGCACACAATTTTTAGCTCCAAATCTCGACTGAGAATCATTTACAGAACTAGAAAACCCTATGTATTGGGTTGATGGAAAAGTCCTTTCCGATTTTTTGGGAGAGTACCTTAAATTTGTCGAATTTTGACGTTTTATAGCTCATCCTAAAGCTGAATTCAAGACGGATCGATTGGTAAAAACCGTTTTGAGATATCTCTTTTTTTAAAAGTTTTTACAGCTCTTTTAGTAAAGGCCAAAAAATGGCTGTTTTCACTTTTCGTTAGTTTTCCGTGCACAAACCTAGGCTAAGAACATGTGTTTTGTGATCAGCGTCAAAAATAACCCCTAATCGAAATAACTGTTCTCTGTGCGCGCGCACAATCACGCTCCATCTGGCACACGGGCCTGATAGATAGGTATTCCCTTTTCGCAAGGCTAAGCGATGGAGCGATGGAGCGATGGAGCCTTCGAGCGCCCCTCTGAAGGAGGTTGCAGGCGGAAAAAAACGTGAAAATTGAAGCATAATTTTCAAAGAAAAATCATTGGGAGCCACGTCTTTCGAAATTGTCGTTCGCCGTCGCTTCCCATTCGTTGACTTTTTCCTTGAAAATTAAAGGATATTCAATTCTCCGCGTTTTTCCCGCTAATGTCAAATCACCTGGAAAAGAATTTTTTTCTTAAATTGACCAGATTCTGCTTAAAATTTTGTATCCCGTCAAAGGAGCAGTTAATTTTTGATGCTTTTCCTCACCGATTCGCTCTTTATTTATTCGTTAAACAATGGGAAGAGCTGCGTCTTTAAAAGGCTACTTTCAGAACTCACAATCGACTGATTGCAATATTGATTGTAAGGGTTGTAAGGGTTGTAAGGATTGTAAGGATTTTAATGATTGTAAGGATTGTAATGATTGTAAGGATTGTAAGGATTGTAATGATTGTAAGGATTGTAATGATTGTAAGGATTGTAATGATTGTAAGGATTGTAAGGATTGTAATGATTGTAAGGATTGTAATGATTGTAAGGATTGTAAGGATTGTAATGATTGTAAGGATTGTAATGGTTGTAAGGATTGTAATGGTTGTAAGGATTGTAAGGATTGTAAGGATTGTAATGATTGTAAGGATTGTAATGATTGTAAGGATTGTAAGGATTGTAATGATTGTAAGGATTGTAATGATTGTAAGGATTGTAAGGATTGTAATGATTGTAAGGATTGTAATGGTTGTAAGGATTGTAATGGTTGTAAGGATTGTAAGGATTGTAATGATTGTAAGGATTGTAATGGTTGTAAGGATTGTAATGGTTGTAAGGATTGTAAGGATTGTAATGGTTGTAAGGATTGTAAGGATTGTAATGGTTGTAATGATTGTAATGATTGTAATGATTGTAATGATTGTAATGATTGTAATGATTGTAATGATTGTAAGGATTGTAAGGATTGTAATGATTGTAAGGATTGTAAGGATTGTAAGGATTGTAATGATTAATAGACTGACAAAACAAGTAGAAATGTGTGTGGGAATCTCGGAGAATAGCTTACAAATAGATGAAAATATTTTAACGATTTCTTACAGTAATTTTTTTGTATATTCGATCAACCTGTACGCGTTTTTGATCCTCCGAATTGCCGTCACTCGGTATCCCTTTTGGCATTGTAAAGAAAAGTCCAAATCAGCGAAAATCATCGGGAACACAGCGAAAATCAGTAGATAATCAATCATATTATAAAGATTAAAAAAAAGCTAATGCTTTTTAGAAATCGATATTTGATATCCTGCTGATTGTGATGATCCTTTTTTTTCTTCGCTTCTCGAGGAGCCGGTTTCACGATAAATGAGGTGTTTTCCGGCTTGGAATCACTCTTCCAAAGCTCTTCCAAAATGGAATGACTCATTTTTGAGCAAAGGCGACAATTATGCGACTAAGCTACCGTACCCGGGGCTATTGTAGCTATCGAAAAGTGCATTTTATACCGTAACCAGCTACCGTAACATCCATAATGGTTACATTGGTTACATCCATAACCTCGTAATGGTTACATCCATAACCATTACGAGCTATAGAAATGCTATTTTAAGCTAAACTCTTTCAAATCTAGGCTTAATTTCTACCGTAATCCATTAATTATAGCCGGAAATGACACCACCAGGAGATATGGACTTTACATCGTATTTGTAAACTGGCCGGATTTCCGTAAACGGTAGGCGCTAATCCAAAGGACCTCTCAATCCTCTTTTCAATGAAGATTACAAATTTGAATTTGAATTGAGAATATAAAATGATTTAAAGAGCAAATTCAAAATGCACACTCTGTCCTGTGACAATCTTTGCGGGAAAATCTTTCTCGTGGACATCAAAGGGCGTCAAAGGACATCAAAGGACGTCAAAGGACGCATCGAGATTTTAAAGCTACAATTTAAATTCTCAAAACGCTACTGTATTCCCCAATTTTCCTGATGTCTGGATGGGTATTATGAAGTGGAAGGAGCTATTCTAGAATCTAAAACGCGCATCAGACACAGTAAGCTAGTGAAGCCCAGAGTTTACTGTACCCAACGCTTAAATGAGATTCATTTTATTCAGTCTACCAATTGGAACTCGAGATCTTAGACATGATCTTAGCCACTTCTCTCGTCAAGCACTTTTGAATTTCAGAACATGACAACTTTTGATTTTAGATTCCTTTCTGGTTTTGACTTTAAAAAGCACTTTATTTATTTAAAAGCGAGAATAAAAAAAGGAAAATGGTGGCAAGCGTTGAGAGGAGAAAGAGATCAGATTCAGTGAGTCACAGCACAGTACATTTGTTTCGTTCGGCCCACGGATTGGCTGCTTTCTCGTTGGGGATGACGAGCGGGTCAACTTGGTTTTCACAGTAGGATTTGAGACTGAAAATTTGATTTGTTTATTTGTTTATTTGTTTATTTGAATATTTGTCAAAAGTTATCCTAATAGTGGTTTAACACCAGGATGCCGGTAAAAAGGTTTTAATTTTATTTTTAATTTTAATTTTATTTGGTTCCCTATCTCTTTAAATTTGGTTCCCAATCTCTTTAAATGTGGTTCCCAATCACTTTAAATCTGGTTCCCTATCTGTCTAAATGTGGTTCCCAATCTCTTTAAATCTGGTTCCCTATCTGTCTAAATGTGGTTCCCAATCACTTTAAATCTGGTTCCCTATCTGTCTAAATCTGGTTCCCTATCTCTTTAAATTTGGTAAAAAGGTTTTAATTTTATCGCAAAAATCTCATGGTGATGACGATTTTTACAATATCACGATCCATGATCATGTTATCGCAAAAATCATGACAAGATATCAAAAATTGACTTCAAAAAATCCTCAAAAAATCCTCTTACATCATACTTAACTGAGCCACTTAAAGTTTTTTTAGAAATTTGACAGAAAGTGACTTTTTCTTTAATCCACGTGTGAGCACGTGTGGCTGACTGGTTAAGTGTCTTTTATCTTAATCGGAAGGTCGAGGGTTCGAACCCCACATGCGACATGGTCACCCCCTTCGGATTTCCTTTCCCTTCGGGTTGAGAGGTTTTCTGGAGGGCAGTCTGGTGGTTGTGGCCCCAGTCTTTAAAGTGACAAGCCCTCCTTCATCGTCATCTTCCCTTCACCACCAAAAAAGCTATTTAGTTCCCCATTGAGCTTAGGGTTAGGGAGCCGTCTGTCATGACGTGGGTTAAGTTAAGATATAGCCTAGTATTGTGTGTGTCGTTGTATTGTGATTGATATATTTCGTGTATGCGATAAATTCACCACTGGGAGCCCCAGTCGGTATTTTTTTAATCCAAATGTACAGTGTACAGTAGCTTTAACCTCTTCTTAAACCTTTTTCTTTGTTTTTTTTTACTAATTTACAAAATTTAATATAAAAAGAGGTGGATCTTAGATATTTAAAAGCTTAAAAAGTTCTATATTTTGATTTCTTTTGTTTTCAAATTCCTCAAACTCCTTCAGATTTCAAATTCAAATTCTCTTGCAACTCACTCCATAGCCGTCTTTGAGATCGGCTCAATCGTGTAGGGAATCTTGAGATGAGGCTCCATTTTTCACGTTTATCTAAACAAAGCTTGTAAATATTAAGGAAAAAAAAAACAGAAAATAGAAAGATTTCTTTAAAAATAAAAGTGCTTAAAATAGGCTTGGATTAAGGGTGAGATTTGGGGATCAATATTGGATTAGGCGATGAATAGAAGGTATGTAAAGATTGTAAAGAAGATTTTGAAAGGCGAGATCACCTCAAAATAGGCATAGACGTCATTTTTGATGAGTTTTTGTGGGGGGGGGGAAATGTAATGATATTCGGTTCGAATGGATACTCATTTAGGCTGTTAGCAAAGCGAAAAGTTGACGAGAGGAGTTTTACCGTAAATACTGTAACCCACCCCTCTAATAGTACCCCTTCTAATATAATAATACCCCACCCTAGAGGGGGAGGGAAAAAATAGTACCCCATGGGGTCCAATTACAGTATTTACGGTAAGTAAAAAAGTACTCGACTGAATTGTGCAAAGTTCGGTCGAAGGTAGCCAGAATCGAATCAATTGATCACAAATTGAGATGAATGACAGGAAATGAATGAAAGACTCAATAAAATGAATCGATCCAAACGATTCGCTGACCCCGAAAACCCCAGAGTACAAATTCACAGCTGAATTGCTTCTTTTTGTGCCATTTACAAAGCAAAAGAGTGACTGAAAATGATTGGCAAGGTGTTCTTGGTGCGGCCGAGCAATCGCTCGCGATCTGGCACACGACCCCGATAGATACCGCTTCCCTCTCGGCATCGGTAACGAACAAGGGCTGAGTCGACCTCCCCTTTTTGCATCGTCACTATGCCATCACTGATATTTGATCTTTTTCATAGATTTCAGTACTGATTTCTGAGTGACTTTTATAGAATTTGCTTTCATTGCTCAAATTTTTGGGGCAACAATGTTATGCCATAGGCGTTTTTTTTTACTTCAAATAGATCCTTCTGGCTCAAAGCAGTTGTACTCCTCGAGGTTCAAACTGCCTATAAAATTTTCATCATAAATACTTGATAAATTGACAAAAACGATTATTAATAAACCGATATTATTTCTTCATAAAACCACTAAAAAATACTACCCCTACCTGTCGATAATTCGATCTTGATGAAAATCACTTCAGTTCAAGCCCCTCGTTTAAAGACATTGAGTCAAAGAGTTACCCTTTTATTTTACCCAATTGAAATACAGCTGTAAAGCAAGCAATTTCAGCAAATAGACAATCAGGGATGGTTGCATTTGAAAAAAAGCAATAAGATTTGAAAAAATTGGCACCAAATAGGATCAACAAATAGCTGCAAGGGTTTCAAGTATTGGAAATAAGGCAGTACATGAAGTCTTGTCGATTTCTCTCTTTTTTTTTGCATTCGCACTTCTCTCAAAGGCCCCCAATCGATGTGGGCGACCCGAGGCGCACCCCAAGAGCTGCCCCCTCTGCCATCCTCTCTTCGACGACGAAATACATCCATTTCATGCTCTTTTGCTTTCTTCCTATACCAGAAACCCATTTTGAGAAGAGAGGAAAGTCACTTGTCTTATGTTAACTTATCAACTGCGAGTGTTTCAAGTGAGTTACCCGATTTCTACCTATTTGCAGTGTTCCGCCTACCTGTGATCTTCACCCGCTTGAAAGTCAGGCTTGTAAGAGATCTTGTAGATGTAAGAGATCTTGTAGATGTAAGAGATCTTGTAGATGTAAGAGATCTTGTAAGAGATCTTTTTAATCCGCAACTTGCTATTCTTAATCTTTTCAAACATTTCATTTCAGTCCCCCCAACTTTGAGTCCATGTAAATCAGCATTTTTCTCTAGGCAAAGCAGAATCAAAAAAAAAAAAAACGAGGGCTTAAAGTTTAAGCCGATGGGAGAGATGACCGAACGATGAACGGACATCGACTGGAAAAGAGATTGAAGTGAATGGGAAAGAATTGGAAAGAGTTGGAAAAAGGGAATTAGAAGAAGGTGAAGGAATAGGGAAAGAGTGAATGAAATATAGAAGCTGAAAGAAGTAAGGCTTGAAGAGAATGGTTGAAATGGTTGAAAAAGAACTAAAGGACTGAAGGTAGATGGAGAAATGAGAGAAAAAGAAAGATTTGTAAGTTGATGAGTGAAAAGAAAGAAATCGAGAATTGAAAGAAAGTAGACAGAAAAAGAGTGTGAAATTTGAAATGAATTGAGAATTGAGTGACAAATCAAGAACAGAGAAATAGGGATAAGATTTTGAAGGGGAATTTGAGAATGAGAAATATAGAAGAGAGAGAGAGAGAGAGAGAGAGAGAAATGAAAAGAGTAGAGCAGAAAGCAGAAAGAGTAGAGCAGAAAGAGTAGAGGAGAAAGAGTAGAGGAGAAAGAGTAGAGGAGAAAGAGTAGAGGAGAAAGAGTAGAGGAGAAAGAGTAGAGGAGAAAGAGTAGAGGAGAGAGTAGAGGAGAAAGAGTAGGGGAGAAAGAGTAGAAGAGAGAGTAGAGGAGAAAGAGTAGGGGAGAAAGAGTAGAAGAGAGAGTAGAGTGGAAAGAGTAGAGGAGAAAGAGTAGAATGAAATATAGAGCTGAAAAAGAGTAGACAAATAAGAAAGAGCAAAGAAAGAGTCTAGGAATCGAGTGAGAAATCGTTATTTGGATGCCTTTGTAGTTCTATTTTCCCTTTTTTTCAACATTGGCAGACGTCCAGACACAGATTTCTTCACGTTTTTTTTCATCAACTCTTTTCCAAATTTTTTTCACTCTATCAACTAAATCTCTTCCTTTTTAGCTACTATTTTAAAATCAATCTCTTTCTTTTCAATGAATTCTATCGTTTTCCTGTTTTTTTCTCTTCTTTTAGCTAATCTTTAGCCATTTTTTTTCTCATCTAAATCTATTCCCTTTATTTCCTCTTCTTTTAACTAAAATCTCAGCATTTTCCTTTTCTCTAACTCAGCTTTTCTTCTAATTTCTCTAAAAAACACAATCTTTTCCCTATTTCCCATTCTCTGGCAACTAGAGCAACGAACTGAGTGACGAACAGACGCGGGAGACGTCTGTGAGGTGCAAAGGCAAAGAGATGCCCTCCTCCGTTCTCCAGTCACTCTCTCTCTCTCTTTCTAGAATAAAAAGCCCTCGTGACCCCTTAAAATAGGTTTTTTTTCTTTGTCAACTTCTTTAAACCTTGTTGTTCTTCATGCCTAAAACTTCTACGTGCCTTTTGAGCAGAATGGAGCCTGGCTTTGTTATTGAATTTTTTTGCTCCTATTGTTATCTTGCTTGTCTTTGTGTCTGTTTTTTGCGACTGAATTGACTGAATTTTTTGAGACTGAATTGACTTTCATTTTTCCTTTCAAAGATCCAGCATTGATAATTGAATCTTTATTCTGAATTGTGTCAGACTAGGATTCTTTCCAGATCTTTATAGGATAGGATTCTTTCCAGATCTTTCTAGGATAGGATTCTTTCCAGATCTTTCCAGATCTTTCTCTTTCCAGATTCACTGTTTCTTTCCCTCAAAATCTGTGACTCTTTTTGTCTACTTTACTCATTTTCTAGACATTTTCTAGATTCTAGATTTTCTATTCTATCAATTCTTAGCTTTAGAATCTGATATTTGATCTTTTTCATAGATTTCAGTACTTGTTTCTGAGTGACTTTTATAGAATTTGCTTTCATTGCTTTCATTGCTTTCATTGCTTTCAATTCTTGGTCTATAATATGTTCAGTGAATCTAGAATAGGATATTCAGTCTAGAATGGCTAGATTACGGTATTTAGTCTAGATTGGGGTATTCAGTCTAGATAGAGTATTCAGTCTAGATAGAGTATTCAGTCTAGATAGAGTATTCAGTCTAGACTGTGTGGATCGCGGAATTCGATCTAGAATAGGATATTCGGTCTAGAATCGCTAGATGACGGTATTTAGTCTAGATTAGGGTATTCAGTCTAGAATGGCTAAATCAGGGTATTTAGTCTAGATTAGAGTATTCATTCTAGATAGAGTATTCAGTCTAGACTGTTTGGAATACGGTATTCAATCTAGAATAGGATACTCAGTCTAGAATCGCTAGATTACGGTATTTAGCTTTTATTTATTTAGTATTTAGTTCCCTAAATTAGTTGTTTAAATCCTTTAGATTTAAATAAAATTTACAGCTCATTTGATATCTTTTCAAATGGATTTTTGCAAAAAAACCTCTAATTGATAATGTCTTTTTGATTTCTTTTTTTTTTTTGTTAACTTCCAGTGATTTGAAATGATGGAATGGTGGAATAATGGGAAATGAGACTTGTTTTCACCTCAGTTCTCTTGATCTCACCAGAATCGACCCCTTCTTCCCCCCTTTTCCCTTTCGGAAATCCCGAAAAAACAGCGAAAATAACAATTTCCCCAAAAACAGCAAAAAGTAGAGAGAAGTTCTTTCAGCCGATTCACATAGTAAACACCGAAAAAGTTGCCCCTTCCTCTTGAGAGAGAAATTTAAAGAAAATCGGTATTGATAGGATTTTTGGATTTTTGTGACGTCATCCTTTTTTCCCTTTTCTTTGATGAATCTTGACTTCCATTGAAAAAATGGAAATGGAAAATGGCGAAGAAATTACATGAATCGTTTTGAACGCATTTTCTGACTTTCTTTGCTTTGAAATTGTTCCCGTAAATCGATCACAAATCGAAAACGAAGCTGGAGGAATATTAGAATAGATTTCTTCATGTTATTTTCAAATCTAAAGCCAATTGCTGGGCCATCTAAAGCCAATTGCTGGGCCATCTAAAGCCATTGCTGAGCCATCTAAATCCATTGCTGGGCCATCTAAATCCATTGCTGGGCCATCTAAAGCCACTGCTGGGCCATCTAAAGCCATTGCTGGGCTCTGATTTAAAAAGTTATCAAACCTATATCTTATTTAGCTTATTAACTTATGTTCAATTCTTTTTTTTTGCCAATTTTTGCTTTAAAATCAATCCCCAATCTCGAGATTGATCAAATAATTAAAAAAAGTTTCCTTCATTCACCAATTCATTGTTTTGATGGGTTTGTTTTTGTCGCTTTCTTTTGTTTTTCTTTTTTTTTCAGCCTCTTGACCAAAAGATATACATCGTTTAAACAAAATGAGAAAAAAAAGAAAAAGGAAAAAGAAAGAGAATCACTTTTTTTCTTTCTTTTTCTTTTTTCTTTTTCTTTCTTTTTTCTTTTTTCCTTTTCCCCAATTTTATCTCGACTTTTCATGTTTAAAATTTCTGTAAGTTTACGTCAATTTTTTTGCATTTAAAAATCATTTAGCTAATCACTTCATTTTTGACTTTTTAAAACAATTTAAACCTCTTTAAAAACTTTTTTAAAATCAATTCTTTCAAGAAGAACAGATCTAGTTGTCTAAATCTTTTTGATTGACAATAATACCTTATAAATGATTGCATACACTAGCCCAGGACTTCAATGGACTCCAGGACTACCAGGATATTGATCTAAATCTTGTTTTTCAAATGATTCGATATTTACCCCTTCGATTTCTCACGTTTCCCCTCTCTCTCGCCTTTCAGCGCTCTCTTTTGCTCTCTTTTGGCGCGTTTCGCTTGAAAATTTTGAACACATCAAAGAGACGAGAGAAATGCGGAGATCATAAAAACAGAAAAAAAGATTAAAGGAAATTTGGAGACGGAAAAGATTTAGGGAAAAGAGGAAACGAGGGCTCGGTGGCAGTCGTCTAGACGGCGGCGCTTCGACGGACCATCAATCTTTTCATCTTTTCCATCTCATCCATTCCCACAGACTCTAACTTGTTCTCATTTTCTTAAAATCTCTTTCACTATAGTTCTATAGCGTTCCACTCTTGTTTTCTAAGCTCTACAAACTTTCTATAGTGTTCAATTCTCAAAATTTTCTTTGTGCTTCTTTATCTGTCATTCTAGCTACGATATTTATTTCTTCTTTCATTTAATCTCTAGTTTTTCTAGTTTTTCAGCTATTTCTTTCGATCTTCTTCTCATTTACTGCTCTTTTTTTCTCTAAATCTCTTCATTTAGCTATAGAACTTCATATAGCTATAGATCTAACTAGAGATCTTCTTTCTCTATGTTTCGAGCATCGCTCGTTTCCTTTTCTCTCGTTTTCTCAGTTCTTCATCTTTCTCTGCATCTCCTTTGCCTCTTTCTCATCTCTTTCTCAGCCGAATTCCATTCTTCAACTATTTCTTTAACCATCGTCTATAGCGCTCTCTTCGCTCCTTCATTGACCACCTTCTCCATCAAATTCTCTTGTTTCCTCAGCTCCTAGCTCCTCTTCAAATATCTCTTGCACATTTCCATACTGTCTATTCAACTCTCACATCTATATTCGCCTGTCCACCCACCCGCTTTGCTCTTTTCAAGTCGGTCCCGGTTCGTCCAGCCAGCCGCTGCGCTGAGCTGGCCGACCGCCTCTCTCCAACCCCATCATCCCTTCTCTGCTTCTTTTTCCTCTCCATCACCTCGTTCCCCCAACCCCATGTGGAGACTTGAGACATTCGCAGACAAGAATTTCCCCGCTCTCTTTTCTTTGGCTTCTTTCGCTTCTTTCTCCTCTCCTCCCCTTTCCCCCCTTCAACCGATCGTTTCAGTCTACGAGCTTTTCCCCGCCTCTTTTTTTCTTTTCTTCTTTTCTCTTTCCCTGTCTTGCCCACCAAAATCTTTCTTTACTTTGATTATTTCCAAACGACACGAGAATGTCTGTCTCTCTTTTTTTTTCTTTGATATTGATTATTGATCTGAGCCTGGTTGACCCGATGTTTACTTGACAATCACTTACCTAACTACCGTATTTAAAGGTATTTAACTAAAGTTAGATCTACAAGCTACATCCAAGCTTTATACAAGCTTAATTGAGCCTCAGTTGAGCTGAATTCTGACTCTGAATTCTGTTGGCTTAAACCTTTACGCAGCGAAATTTTCTCATAGTTTTGATAGATTTTTGGATTTCAAATGAATGAATCTTGTTTAAAAGATATTCAGTTATGAGAAATATTTAGTTTTTGATATATAATATTATAAGATTACCCGCTTTTCCTTCTAGACTTTAGAATGCTTGTAATATTAGAATGCTTGTATTAGAATGCACTTGTAAAAGGTTTACTGGTTTGCTATAGTTAAAAAAAGTTGTATTATCTGATTGGAAAACATTGAAAAACGGATTTAATTTGATTTCTGATTGAGTATCCAATATTTTATTGAATATCTTTTTGAATCACTTTCAAATCACTTTCAAATCACTTTCAAATTACTTTCAAATAGCTTTGAATGACTTCGAATCACTTTGAATCACTTTCAAGTCACTTTGAATCACTTTGAATCACTTTCAAGTCACTTCGAATCACTTCGAATCACTTTGAATCACTTTGAATCACTTTAAATCACTTCGAATCACTTTGAATCACTTTCAAGTCACTTCGAATCACTAACTAAAGCTTCTTTTACGATGAAATGATGATTTTATGCATTAAATGAATATCTTTATTTCTATTTATTTCTATTTATTTCTACTTATATGAATTTCATTTTAAAATTTTCGATGGCTGCCGTTTTGGCTGCAGTTCCGCTTTCAACAAGGGATGTTTTACTTGATGAACTCGCCACCGCTCCACGACCATTCCCATTACAGGTTTATTTCAAAAATAACTCTACAAATTAAAATTTCACTTTTCTTTCTACTATTCACAGTATAGTAAGAGCTTTTTTTAAACTTTTAAAACCGTACACAAACTTTGTAACTTTGTAAGCTTGTCTTTGTCTGTAAGCCGTCTCCATTACGGAAGCTTGTCTCGATGTAAGCTTACTGTATTTTGAGACAAATTTCTTTTAATTAAGTAGCTTTTAAAAGCTGTTACTTTTGTACACAAATTTAGAGTATATTTGATCGTAAACTAGGATTTCAAATAATAATGATCGTTTCCTGTTTCTCTCTTTTTTTCAGCTTTACTTAGCTTTGAGCTAAACTAAAGACAATTGTAAGCCCTTAAACTCTTAAACGATTGTAAACATTTAACATAAACATATAGTAAACTATAGCCTTTGTAGGGCTTCTTCTATTTTAGAGTTTTATCCAAATTTTATCTTTTATATTCGATTTGATTCTATTTTTTTTGCTCTTGAATTGTTTAATTCGAAATTCTCTCTAAACTTTCCCCAAACCGGTATCAAAATCAAAAAAAATCATCTGATTTTACTATTGTCATGAATCCAATTTAATATTCCCTTTATATTTAATATTTAATATAGTACACAAACTTTGTAACTTTGTAAGCCGCCTCCATTACGGGCTTGTCTCGATGTAAGCTTACTGTAGTTTGAGACAAGTTTCTTTTAATTAAATAATAATGACATTATATAGTAAACTATAGCCTTTGTAGGATTTTTTCTATTTTAGATTTTTATCCAAATTTTAACTTTTATATTCCATTTGATTCCATTTTCTTTTTTGCTCTTGAATTGTTTAATTCGAAATTCTCTCTAAACTTTCCCCAAACCGGTATCGAAATTTGAAAAAAAATCATCTGATTTTACTATTGTCACGAATCCAATTTAATATTCCCTCGAGATGCATCATGTTTTCAGAAAACGAAAAAATAATACATTTATTTTAGCGCCAATGTTTTGTCTTGAAAAATTTCCGTTTTTTTGATGAATTTTTTTTTGATGGAATCGTTAGCTCATAGAGAATAAGCTTTTTAATTTTTTAACTAGGATCACTGTTAACAATGCCAATCTTTTTCCCGTTTAAATACATTGCTTTGCATTGCATTGCATTGCATTGCATTGCAAACTGACAAACTGACAAACTGAAAAAGTTTTAGATACATTGTGACAAAGTGACACAAAAAGCTGCACTTTCCACCAAAGTCTTTTGAACTTTTCAACTAGGATCATTGTTAGCAATGCCAATTTTCCAAACTCCAAAGTCAAAGCACTTTCCACCACCAAAAATCGCCCTCCTTTTTCCCACTTTAATAGCCTGAAATCTCAAAATTTTTGAACAAAAAATGGTTAAAATCTTTAGAACCAAAATCGATCCTATTTTTTTCTTTATTTTCCACCTTTTATCAAATTCACTTCATTCTTTTTTGCTGAGCTCAACTCGCCGCCACTCTTTTTTGTGTTTTTCTCAACAAAAAAAACGGCCGACGAGCGGCCGGAGCTGAATCGTGTGACAATCGATTGACAGAAAAGTCGAGAAGAGAAAAAGGAAAAAGGAAAAGAGAACGGGCAAGACAAGCATCGACCATAGAATAGACAAATGACTTTAATGGAAAGGAGAGACTTGTACTTACTGTCTGTTAGACAGCTGGAAAAATAATACTATGAGATTACCCGGGTTTCCTTTCTAGACTTTAGAAGGCACTTTACTAGTAAAGCTAGTAAAGTTACTAGTTTTACTAGTTTACTAGTAACTTTACTAGTAACTTTACTAATAACTTTACTAGCTTTACTAGTAAAGTGCCTTCTAAAGTCTAGAAAGGAAACCCGGGTAATCTTATCCGCTTACTAGGCGAACGCTTAACCAATGAGCTACACAACCAATAGATATTCCATCGCCGCCAAGATAGAGCCTTATATCTTACTACGATTTTGAAGGCGTTCAATTTAGTCAAAAAGGTATTTCAAATTCAAATGGAAAGCTTAACATGTCAAAAACTGAAGCGCTAAGGAAATTAGAGTTTTGCAAAGATTGGTCTAGTTTGTTCAAAGCTACCCATTGACATTTTAATTTCCATTTCAAGCCTAACATGTCAAAAACCTAAGCGCTAAGGGTATTAGAGTTCTTCCAAGATTGGTCTAGTTTATACAAAGCTACCCATTGACACTCTAATTTCCATTCCAAGCCTAACATGTCAAAAACCTAAGCGTTAAGGGTATTGGAGTTCTTCCAAGGTTGGTCTAATTTATACAAAGCTACCCATTGACACTCTAATTTCCATTTCAAGATGGGTATTTAAAGATAAAATGAACTCTTAATCAAATAGCTTTCATTCAAAACTTACCTAACAATAAGTAACACGAAATTTTCTAATCGCATAACGATTTTTTAAATTTGGGGAAATTGGGGAAAATTTTTCTCATCTATGATCAAATTTAAGTGTTTTTTTTTTAAATTCAGTCGCTTTTCATATTCAAGAAACGTATCGATGCTTTAGATCTAGTGGCTCTTTGCCGTAAGTAATTGGCTTATTGATTTCAGTATGTATTGTATGATTAAGTATCACTGTGCATTTCTCTATGATTTCTTTCACTTTATCGTTTGAATAAAGTATTATTAATTCAAAAATCATTATAAAAACGTATAGTTGAGCCGAATTAATTTCTTTGGAAAATCGGCTTTCCGGTCGAGTTTTTTTTTTTTTCATTTTTCTTACTGAGTTTTTGATTTTTCAGATTAATTCTAGACTACTTTATTTTAAGTTTTATTCTTATTTGTTCTTATTTGAACGATTTTTAAGCGAAATACCTTTTTGCAATGACTGTAATTTGCGCAAAAATTCGTAAAGTTTTATGGGAGTGGGACAAATGCGACCTTTTTTTTTGCGCACCCGGACATTTGCGCACCTTTTTTTTCCGCACTTAGCCCATTAGCGCACCTTTTTTCGCGTTTTAAAAAAGCTCTAAAAAGCTAATATTAACCAATTTCTATTCCAAAAGTTCTTTTTCTAGGTAATTTTAGGGCGTAGAATCGAAATTTTGACATATCAGAGCTTGTGGAAGCGAACGGACGGAGTTATACAAAGAGAAAAATCGACAATTTTCTGTAATTTGATCTAGCCGTTTTGATCTAGCCAATCTAGATCTTTCAAATTGGTTCCACACGCTCTGTTATGTCAAAATTTCGATTCTACGCCCTCAAATTACCTAGAAAAACAACTTTTGGAATAGAAATTGGTTAATATTAGCTTTTAGAGCTTTTTTAAAACGCGAAAAAAGGTGCGCTAATGGGCAAGGTGCGGAAAAAAAGTGCGCAAATGTCCGGGTCGGCAAGAAAAGGTCGCATTTGTCCCACTCCCAATTTTATTCGTAAAGTTTTACGATTCGAAATCGATCGAAATCGATCGAAAATATAGAAAATACGAAATTTTTGTCATTTTTTTGAGATTAACTTTTAATTTCTAGATAAAAGTGATAAAAAGATCTTTTTTAATTTTGAATTTCCGCGAAATAATCGAAAATTTAAAAGATCGAGAAGATTTTGGTGACTGAGTTTAACATTTCGACAAATTTTTAGAGTTCTAGCTACATCGTACAGTACGGTACAGTGCACGAAAGTGTTTATCGATCAAATTGCAATAGAAATCACAGAAAATTGAATATTCTAGTCCTTTCGCACTGTCTACTGTAATCCATTTTCGATTTTGATCTATTTTGAACGAATTTTGATCGATAAGCGATTTGTATTATTTCCCAAAAAGCTTTTTTTTAAAATTTTTGAGTACATACCGTAATAATCTAATAGAAGACCAGTCTCTAATAGAAGACCAGTCTCTAATAGAAGACCAGTCTCTAATAGAAGACCAGTCCAATAGAAGACCACCCCCTGCCCCTTGAAATCGGGACTTTTAAACTTCTTTTGTAGATGTAGTTTGGGTCCAGTGTAATATTTGCCCCGGCAGTTAAATTGGAGACGTAGTTTTTGGAAAAATTAAAAATAACTTTTTGGAAAATTTTATGTGGTCCCCACTGGTTTTTTTGAAAGATTTTCTTGGAGTCCGGGCAAGAAAATATTTCCTTTTGCATGTTTTTGGCTGTTTTGGGCCAAGGGCTATCGTTTGAAATGTTTTTAACAATTTTTAATTTTTTGATTTAGTGGGGACCCTTACCTCTTTTTGGCCGTCAATTTTGGGGGGTTGAAAATTAGAAGACCATGGTCTTCTATTAGAATTATTACGGTACTTACTTTAATTTATTTTTTAACTGAATATTATTATTATTAATGAATACCGTACTTTCTCTTGCTTGTGTCTCATTTTCGACGAGATACGCTTTAAAGCCGGACAACCAACTGTTCCCCGTGCATCCCTCAATGCCACCATTGCACTGAAAAACATATGAAATTTTTCGATACACTGTAAAATTTGAATATGCTTTAATCTAGATATTTAGGAGAAAATATTGTGCTAAATATTTAGCGCCACCTTTTCGATTTCCATTCAAGATTATTTACAGCTAAACCTCGTTTAAAAGTGAAGAAAACGTGAAACGACTACAGAAAAGTGCTAATTTCACTTCGTTGTTCTTTGAATACCATTTTCTTCACGGATTTTATTATCTATTGCCTAAATTTTCTTCATTTTCTCACTGTTACCGTAGTTTCTCTAATAGTAGTGCTCCTCGGCAAGCTGATTTGATGACTATTTTACAGTTTCCAAGCTTTTGCAGAAGCTCAACTCTCTAATCCCCCACAAGATCTCATCCTAAGCTACATTTTTCGACCACACATCGATAGGTTCTGATAAGTGGTTCTCGAGATTTCAAGGAATTTAGGCGACGCTCAGGTGCACTACTATTAGAGAAAATACGGCATTACTATTTGTTACTGGAATAGATCAATTCTAGAAACAAATCTACAATCGATATCTATAAAATGTACTCTATAACTGATTAAACTCTTATAAAAACCTCTTTTGAAACTCTATAAAACTCTTTGAGACAAAAAGAATGATATTTTGATAAAATCTAATTTGATATCTATATTCAGCCTTCACCAGCGATGGCTCCCAGTGAGCACAACTCGGCCCTAAGCTTTGCGAGTGTCGGCGAGCAGAGGGTCGCCTGTTTTGTGATCGGAGGAGAACCGAGACTCTGCTTTCCACAGGTAAACAAAAAAAAAATAAAGAATATTAAAGAAATTTCCAGTATTGAGTCCTTTCAAAAATCCTTTCTTCTAAACCAAAAGCTACTATTTGCTATTTGAAAATTCTCCAAATTCTCGCTATTTTCGGGAAAATTTCTTTCAAAGGAGTCCTCATTTCTTTATTTTTCTTTTTAAATATATCTGGTTTTTGAAAGCTTTCGACTCTTTAAAGAAGTCTTGGAGTCTTGAAGATTTAGTCTTCTATTTAAAGTCATCAAATATATAAAAATTGATGAGAGACTTAGAAGAACGGAACGGAACAGAACTGACTTTAGACAAACTTAGAAGGACAGACAGAACAGAACTGACTTTAGACTAACCTAGAAGAACAGAACTGACTTTAGACAGACCTAGAAGAACAGACAGAAGACCAGAACTGACTTAAGACAAACTTAGAACAGAAGAACAGAACAGACTTAGAAGTTTTCTTATCTGAGTCTGAAAAGCGATCTTTTAATCAAATTCTAGACTAACCATGCCTAGAATACTTTGATCAGCAAAAAATAGACAAATAGAGGAACTTCTCTTTTTCGGGTGTTTTTTTTGGTCGAATAGATTTCTCCAAAAAAAAGGAAAAGAGGACCGGTTTCACCAATTGAAGAGCCTAGACACATGGCTTAGACCGAGAGAAAATTCGTGTCTATTCTTTAAGTCGATCAATACTTCAGATGAAAGTTGAAACGACAAAAATATTTGGATATTTGGATAACAGTCATATCCAGTTATAGGCTCGTTTTTGTTTTTTTCGAAATTTGAATTTCGAATTGCTGCAAAGAAAAATGGGCATTTTTTTTCAAATTTTTCTGATTTTTCTGTCAAATGACGGGTTTTCAGTTCAAATTTTTGTGACATTTGCACATTTGAATTTGAATAAAACCAATCAAAGATTTCGAATCTATTTCGAGAAAGTTTTCGTCAAAATTTTGGCTTTTATTTTTTATTCTAGAGGTTTTAGTTAAAAATTTTAAATATTATATTGATTTTTTTGAAGAAATGACGGTCGAAAATTGGTTTATAGTAAGCCAGATCCGCTCAAACCAGATTTAAAGAAACTTTTTGTCGGTCTAACTTCAAAACTAAGTTAGTTTCATAGAAATTCTTTACTTCTTCTTTACTAATACAATTCTGAACGGAAATCCTGTCCGTTTTTCTCTTGATAACTTTGAAATCCTCACAAAACATCATCTAAAGCACGTGTGGCTGACTGGTTAAGTGTCTTTTATCTTAATCGGAAGGTCAAGGGTTCGAACCCCACATGCGACATGGTCACCCCCTTCGGATTTCCTTTCCCTTCGGGTTGAGAGGTTTTCTGGAGGGCAGTCTGGTGGTTGTGGCCCCAGTTCTTTAAAGTGACAAGCCACTCCTTCATCGTCATCTTCCCTTCACCACCAAAAAAAGCTATTTAGTTCCCCATTGAGCTTAGGGTTAGGGAGCCGTCTGTCATGACGTGGGTTAAGTTAAGATATAGCCTAGTATTGTGTGTGTCGTTGTATTGTGATTGATATATTTCGTGTATGCGATAAATTCACCACTGGTAGCCCCAGTCGGTATTTTTAAACCAAGAAAGATATTGGAAAATACAAATCAAAGTCAATCTCGAAAAAATCGATGACTCTTTGACCAATTAAAAATATTAAAAATTTTTAACTAAAACCTCTAAAATAAAAATAATATTGATATTTAAATATTGATTTTTTTGAAGAAATCACGGTCTAAAATTGGTTTATAGTAAGCCAGATCCGCTCAAATCAGATTTAAAGAAACTTTTTGTCGGTCTAACTTCAACACTAAGTTAATTTGGGGTTTTGGTTTACCCTGGAACTCTAGCCAGATTCCAGAAAAGGAATCTAGAGTTGGGCAGATCAAAAACGAACCAAGCCAGGACTCGAACCTGCCAGCTCACCTGCCAGCTACCAGGCAACCGTGCGAACCATTAAACCACAACGCACTCGATCCCCCTCCTCGGAGTGAGTGTTAACTCTGGATTGTGGGCTTAGAAAAATTGCTATTAATCTTGGATCTGGGTGATGGAATCGAATCAGTGAGAGCTACAATGGTGTGCTGAATTAGTGAGAGCTACAAAGCTAATAGTGAACTAATTTTAGCTAGTCATAATCCATTCTTTTGTCCACTCTAAGGTTCCACTGACTCATTTCCTTGAACTCAAAGAACTTTTCTTCTAGAATCAGCTTTTTGTTTTATAAAATCTATACAATTCCCGAGAAATCACTTACCAAAACTACGAATACCTTCTATAAATAGAAATTCATAGAAATTCATAGAAATTCTTTACTTCTTCTTTACTAATACAATTCTGAACGGAAATCCTGTTCGTTTTTCTCTTGATAACTTTGAAATCCCCAAAAACCATCATCTAAACCAAGAAAAATCCCTGGATAACTTTAAAAGTATGAAAAAAAAGAATTAAATCGGATCAGTTGTCATGGAATCGGGGAAGGAATTCCTAGGGGGAACGGTTAAAGAAATTTGTTGATAGAAAAATTCGAGGGACTTTTCAAGGGATCGGTTTTAAAGCTTTAACTATACATAAAATATAGTTTATTTAAAGTGTAAAAGATATGGAAAGCCTAAAATTAAAATTGACTACAAACTATAATATTAGGTTGGTGAATTGAAAACTGAACTTTGAACTAAAATTTATTCAACATAAAACTATCAATTCATTCCAAATAATTTCCATTATTATTGACGACTTCTGCCCATTTTACAGGAAATTTGCGGATTCCTCTTTCGTGGTAGGATTTTGGTTTATGTTTGAGACAAGTGTGAGACTCAAAAATCGATGAGATGTCCCAGTTTGAGCACTTTCTTCAAAAGAAACCCATTTTGATGTCATTGGAAAAGTTGTAGAGAATCAAAAATTAGGCTTATAGCCAAATTTCCAAAAAGATACACTTAGTAATTTCGCTTAAAATGCAAGTTTTGTGAAAATTCGTAAATTTGGCATTTCTTGAAAACCAGTTTTTGAATCGTTCTGAAAATTTGGATATAAGCTTGATTTTTGATTCTCTACAACTTTTCCATTGACACCAAAATGGGTTTCTTTTGAAGAAAGTGCTCAAACTGTCACATATGACAATAGCCCGCAGTTTTCAATTCACCAACCCAATAGATTGAGATTAGCCTCGATTTGCGGAGAAGTCAATGTCCAATTTGAGGATTCAGAGCGGCCAGATTAGTTTGTTAAAGGGAGAGGGAAGGGGGTTATGTAAAAGCCCTGCGCCAGACGACGGGCTATTACGGGGCAGCACAAAGAACACGCAGAACACACAAATTTTAAGCGAAACTACTAAGTGTATCTTTTTGGAAATTTGGATATAAGCTTGATTTTTGATTCTCTACAACTTTTCCATTGACACCAAAATGGGTTTCTTTTGAAGAAAGTGCTCAAACTTCTCACATATGACAATAGCCCGCAGTTTTCAATCCACCAACCCAATACTTTACATAAACAATGCTTTATCATTATCCATTCAGGTGATCAGCTCGTGCATGCCTGGCTGTGATGTCACTGAGGTGTCTCGGCTCATTGAAGATCTTCATATTCATTTGGGGGTGAGGATAAAAGTATTATAATATTATATCTAAATAAGATAAGATTAGAGATCATTTTATAGAACTTTTATAAACCTTTTTCTATAATTATGTTTAACCTATTGCTTAGAACGCTTCACAAAAGCAAATCGACGCGTTGAAGCTTTCGGATGCGCTTCAGCAAACCGTTTCCACTTGTGTTCTCATCAAGAAAACTGACACGGAAAGATTGGTAAGTTGGAAAGATTCTTTATCAATTTTATTTCTTTATCAATTTTCAATTTTCCTAAACGAAAAGAGAATAAACAAAGGTAGATCTAGGTGAAGAAAAGATAAAGTGAAAGTGAAAGTTTTCATTTGGTTCTTCTTTATTCAATTCAAACAGTTAGATTCGGTATTCGGTTTCAAAATGATTCAAAATGTAAATCTTAAAAGCAAAATCCTTTTCAAAGTAATGTTTTCTTCAGATTGGTGAGCTTCGTGTGGCTAAGCATGGTCATAAAGCGCCGGCTGATGTAAACAAAAGCGAGGTGCTTTTAGTGAAACACGATTGTTTTGGAGGATGCAAGGTGAGTGCAAGAATTCGATTTTGCAAATATTTAACTAGAAAATCATATTTCACATATTTACCTATAAATTAGAAAACAAGTGCGCCAGAAAGCGTCAGAAAGTGCGCCTGAAAGTGCTAGAAATGCGCAAAAAGTGTGCCAGAAAGTGCGCCAGAAAGTGCGCCAGAAAGCGTGCGTTTCCCTTGAGCTTTAGCACAATGTACGTGGATAATCGGTACCACTTTTGAGAAGACTTTTACTTAAAGATCTTAAAGAATTCCATGTACAGATCGCCACTCAACTTTTTCCCAATCAATCAATCCCAATCCATTTCATTATCCGTTTTCTTTTCTGCCATCTCCGAAACGTGCCATTTTGCAAAAAGACAAAAAAAATGGCTTATCTTTTACCATTTTCTCCTGTTTCTCAATTTACAATTTCCCCATTTTCTTTTCAACTCTTTGAAATACAAGCTTCTACAAATAGAAATTGATAGAAATTGATAAAAATTGATAAAAATTGATAGAAATTGATAGAAATTGATAGAAATTCTTTACTTCTTCTTTACTAATACAATTCTGAACGGAAATCCTGTCCATTTTTCTCTTGATAACTTTGAAATCCTCACAAACCATCATCTAAACCAAGAAAGATATTGAAAAATACAAATCAAAGTCAATCTCGAAAAATCGATGACTCTTTGATCAATCAAAAAGAAAAAAAAACAAGTCGATCACCGGGGAAATTAATCTTTTTGGTTTAACTTTTGGAAAAGAGATCCCTCAATTTTGGAAAAGAGAAAAGAGATTGGAAAAGAGAAATTGAAAAATGAGTGTTCTCTCAAAAAAAGCGTTCGAGAAAGAAAGCAGGTAAAGGTCGAAACGATCCACTCAACAACACCGGTGATGGGTTTTGGGAAAGATCGTTTAGTGAAGCAACAATACAGTAGTAGAAATTTGTTCATAATAGCTAAAGCCAAAGAGCTAATAGCTAAAATCGAATAGCTAATAAGCCTATTGTTAGATTACAGTAATCCATAAACAATCAGTCACCCAGCGGTAGTTCAAATTAGTAACATGCCTATAAAACAGATAACAACTCTTGTTATCTGTTTAACAAATTAGTAACAACCCTAAGCCTACAGTAAGCTACAATAAGCTACAGTAATCGGAATTCTGACTATTATAGCTTATTATAGTATTCAAAAAAGCCTTAAGAGCCTTACAATTAGAATTGGGATATTGTATCAAAAAATAAAAAATATTTAAATAAAAAAAAAAAAAAAAAAAAAAAAAAAAAAAAAATAAAAATATATAAAAACAAAAAACACACACAAAAAAAAAAAAAAAAAACTAAAAAAAAAAAAAAAAAAAAAAAACAAAAAAAAAAAAAAAAAAAAAAAAAAAAAAAAAAAAAACCACCAAAAAAAAAAAAAAAAAAAAAAAAAAACTTATATTCTTTTTTTTTTTTTTTTTTTTTATATCTTTTAAAAATTGGGGGCGGCCGGGGGCCCCCCCTCCCTTTTTTTAAAAACCAAAACCCCAACCCCCCCCCCCACCCCCCTTAAAAAAAAAAAAATAAAAATGAAAAAAAAAAATATTTATAAAAAAAAAATTTTTTTTAAAAAAAAAAAAAAAAAAAAAAAAAAAAAAAAAAAAAAAAAAAAAAAAAAAAAAAAAAAAAAAAAAAAAAAAAAAAGCAATAAAACAATAGTTGAAACAAGAGACGATCTAGAACCCTTTCAAATACTTTCAACACTTGTACTTTGGGCTCAACAATTGATAAACGCATACCATCTGGCGCATTCGTTTCTGAGGAAATGAAAGGAATTCAGTGTACTAGAAACGGTGTGTTTTCACATTTTCCAATTTTGAGCCAATTTTGAGCCAATTTTGAGCCAATTTTGAGCCAATTTTGAGCCAATTTTGAGTACACTTGTCTAACCTGGACATTTTTTTCCTGATTGTGAATCTATATCCAAGCTGGATTCATCTCTTTTATCACTTTTTTTTCTGAATTCTCTTCAATTGAAAGCCCTGATCTTGAAAAATGGCAAAAAACGAGAAAAAACACTTTTTTCAAACAATTTTTTTTGATTTTTGATCAATCTAAACAATCAATTGTAAAAAAATTGTAGAAAAATTATGTAAAGACGAAAAAAACAATCAATACTTTTAATATTTTAGGGAAATCTTTATCCATCTTTGTTCCCTCATCCATGCATTGAGTGCATCGATTGCGGGAATTTCTTCGAACCATCGCATTTCATGACACACAATCACGAGAAAGGAGAGATCTTGAGGTGAAGAATTATGGCTTTCATAAAATTGTTAACAATAAACAACAAGAAACAACAAGAAACAACAAGAAAAAGAAAAAGAACAAGAACAAGACCAAGAACAAGAACAAGAACAAGAACAAGAACTAGAACAAGAACAAGACCAAGAACAAGAACAAGAACAAGAACAAGAACAAGAACAAGAACTAGAACAAGAACAAGACCAAGAACAAGACCAAGAACAAGAACAAGAACAAGAACAAGAACAAGAACAATAGAACAAGAACAAGACCAAGAAAGAGCAAGACCAAGAACAAGAACAAGAACAAGAACAAGAACAAGAAAAAGACTGTTAACTTGTTTAAATAAAGTTACATTTAATCTAAAAACAAATTCTTATATGTGAAAAACTTTTAGAACCGTTCACTGGGGCTTTGACGCGAACAACTGGCGACTGATGATCAGACTGAGAAAGGTTGAATAGCTTAAAATAGATTTGGTCATTGAATAAGATTAGTCTAGCTATTAGAAAGATTTTGGTTTTTTGTTTATGAACAAAATTCTAGGCTCAACGTCATTGTGAGCACGCGAAACCTGCTTTTGAGCGTTTCTTGGAGCCACTCGTGGTCAGCTATTTATCTGGATCCCAGAAACGACATCTCTCTAGCATGGTTGGTTATTTTATTTTCTGAATTCAAAATCTAAACTTGATTTACAGTACACTAATCTCAAAGCTACAATATTCTTGTTTAATGGGAAAAACAAATAAGAATAGAGTTTGTACAAGAATCCTAGTTCATTTCCGCTTTTAATTTTGCAATTTTTGGTAAAATTAAGAATAAGAACTCAAGAATATACAGTACTGGACAATGAAATATTATATTTGAAAAAAGATCGTCACTTTCGCGCGTCTGCTCTTGACTGCTAGTGGATCCGAATCAAGATCAAAGAGTTCCGAGCGCAGCCACACTAGCCACTAGGCTACGAGCTGCTCTTGGGTGGCGAAAGGAAATCCAAAGCCTTCAGTGTGCCAGAATTCGAGAAAAGCCTTCATTTTTCGAAATTCAAATGGCTGTCGTTGATTAGTGGTTTTTGAAAATAGTTTCTGAACGTACATTTTCAGGCCTTTCTTTTGGCACCTACAGCACCGGACAATGAAATATTATATTTGAAAAATGATCGTCACTTTCGCGCTCTGTAACTCCTTGTCTTTGGTTTAAACTATTGTGTTTACATTTTCTGAAGCTCTTTTCAAGGGCTACACAATGGTAATATTAATATTTAAAAATACAATAAAGACAAGGGAGTTACAGACGCGCGAAAGTGACGATCTTTTTTCAAATATGATATTTCATTGTCCAGTAGTGTATGTACTCAAGAATATATTTAATCTAATATTATTGATCTAAAAAGATTGGGAAGCCTTTCTTCGATTTTATCCCTTTTCAGTAATTTCTATTTCCTATAAAGAGTTACGTGCAAAAATCAAAAATGACGACGAAAACATGTCGGCCGTGTTTACGCCAAAAAGAGAGAACTATGCCAATCCTGAGTCCATCTCTCAACTGAAAAAAAGAGAAAGATCGATGTGGGGAAACCTAATTTCACCCCCACCCGGAAAAACAAAAACAGAAAGTGTTCTCAGCCAGCCATAACACTTCCTAGTTCCGTTGGACTCTTTTAATCAACAGAGTCTTTTGAGATGTACTTTGTGGTTGCGAAATCTCGAAACAGAACCTTTCTGACGTACTTAACTTGAAAGCTAATCATAGACAAGGGACAAGGACCGGCTAAAAAGACTAACATTCTTGATAACATTCTTGATAACATTACTCATAGTTAGAATAACGGTATCATCATCATATCCATTAGCCATTAGCTTGACTTCATAGAATTGAATGGTATTTGAAAAGATGTTACTTGAGCATTTACTATTGTAGTTACTGTAATTGAGACCAACATATGCGATGCCCATTATCCATATATTAGAATAGTATTAACCATGCAAGTATCTAAAATAAGCCATTTTCCTAGCCCTCTTTTGATTTAAGGCGGAAAAATCGATGAACCGTCTCTCTCCTCTCCATTAAGAAGCCCCCAAAAGTTCGTTCATTAAGAAAGGAATTGAGAAAGGAATTAAGAAAGGAATTAAGAAAGGAATTAAGAAAGGAATTGAGAAGGAAATTAAGAAAGAAATTAAGAAAGAAATTAAGAAAGAAATTGAGAAAGAAATTGAAAAACAAATGAAATTCCAGAATGGAGAACTCGCCCCGAAGCGACCAGCTCTTGATCTCGATTTCCTTTTGAAAGTGAGAATTATAAAAGAAAAACAAAAAAAAGAATTTGTACTTTAGAAAGAGCAACAACGTCAGCACGATCTCTTGCAGGTGAGTTTAGGCATTTGTTTGAGCTTTTTTTCGATTAGAAAACAACAAAAAAGCTGATAGTGGACACTTTTTTTGGATTGAAATAATTTGAAGACTGAATCTAAACGAAATCATTTAAAAATCAAGTCTAAATCAAATGTTTTCAGATAAACTATTTGCTGGTTTACTGGTTTACTGTAAAAATAAAATAAAAAATGAGATTTGATAATAATTTGCCATTTTTTCGACAAGTTTTAGTGAAATTTTTGAATTTAAAAACAAAATTTGAGAACCGTTTTTCTCCTGTTGAATCACTGACAAGAGAATTACTATATAATTGTTTTAAGAAGGTTTTAAAGTAAGCATTAGCAGTAGCAGCAGTAGAACTGGTGAATAGATACGCGGGCTGTTAAGCTAGCTTCAAAACTGACCCCTTTCTAGCAACTCGTTCAACTCCCACACGTCAAAGAGGCCACCACGGCACTCCTTCAACTCAGCCAGCAGAACCTACAAGCTGGGTTGACTACAACGTGTCCACAAAATATCAATGTCAATGCTTGCTCCTCATCAGCGTCAACTCCATTCACTCCACAAACTCTCCTCTCACCGACTCTTCTTCAGCCGATAAAATGCGAGAAAATCGATGTCGATGCTTCTGTTAAAGGTTGGTACTAGGAGAGCTTTAAAAAGCTTCAAATGGTTTCCTGTTTTCTTTCATTTTAGTGAAATGGTTACCCTAATAGTTGTCGTATAGCGAGTTTATGACGATTTTACGATTTCCAAAGTTTTCCAGAAACCAACCATCCCTCCAGCCATCGTCACACACCGCCCCCGATAGGTCGATAGCGGTCCGAGTTTCGGGAATTAGGCGCGCCCGGGTCCCACATAGAGATACCCAATCTGTTCTATGAAAAATTATACCGTACTTGCGTCTAGACGTTGGACACTGTACGTCCTTTGTTTTGTACTGGTCTGTAGCTCCGGTTCTCTCTATAGTGTGCACCCCGTCAAGCCGAGTTGATCACTATTTTACGATTCAAAGCTTTCACAGAAACTCAACCCTCTAATCCCTCACAAGATCTCATCATCTGAAGTCTGAGTAATTTTAAGAATAATAATACGAATCTTTATACTGGCTGCGATATACCGCATTTTCTCTGATAGTAGTGCACCCCGTCGAGCCGAGTTGGTGACGATTTTACAATTTCCAAACTTTTCACAGAAACTCAACACTCTAATCCCCCACAAGATCTCATCGTCAGCTGCATTTTCCGACCCCACATCGATAGGCTTTGATAAGCGGCTTACGAGATTTCGAGGAATTTAGGGAAAGCCTATGTTAGAGAAAATCCGGTAATCTTTTTTAACAAGAATCCACATAAAATCTAGTCATTTCTAGGCAAGCATTGTGAAATTGAAATCATTAGAGCATTAGTTCTGGTTCTGGAGTCTTGTTGGCAGTAAAATATTGATGACACAATGTTCGAAAGGCAATTTCTTGGTCTTGGTCTTGCTCAAAACAGAATGAGTCTTCTAGCCGGGCTGGGGGTTTTGTCTTTTTGGTGGTTTAGGTTAACTGAAGCTAGGATAAAAGACTATTTACAACTAGAAACAGATCAATGAATAAATCTCATTCTTTGATGAGATCTTTGAGTTCATTGATGAGAATCGAATTATTGATTAAGCTTTTGGTTAAGCTTTTGGTTAAGCTGTGAATTGGATTTTTTCCTTCTGGAGAATGAGATTTGTTTACGGTTGTTTGAAAAAGTTTTTCGTTGTTTGAAAAAGCTTTTGCAGAGCCGCTCTTTGATGTGGTTCCTCTAGCGATTGAGCCGACTTCTTCATCAAAAGATGACTTCAAAAAAAGGCCGGATTCCGAGGATAGCTCTGATGGTTGGTTTCACGTTTTTCTAGCTAAAGAATTCCTTCATAATCTTTTCTATTTTTGTGGGAAATCTTTGAGGAAAGAGGAAAAAGATTTCCATCATTTTTCATCATTTTTTTTGAGAAAAACTCGAACAGGGCTCAGTGTAGTGAAGAAATTTCTTTGTTTTTATGAGAAATTCTTTGTTTTTATGAGAAATCTCCTTGTTTTTATGAGAAATTTCTTTGATTTCATCACCTTTTTTAAAAGATTATAGTTTTAAGTAAATTTTAGAACCAAATTTTTTCATAAATTTTAAATTTTAAGCACTTTCACTTAAATGATTAGAACCAAATTTTCTCAAAAGCTTTTCAAATGAAAAATGAGTCAGAAAACTACAAAATCTCTTGGCAATCTATGATTATTAAATGTTTTTCTCCACAAATTTCCACTCATTTTCGTATTCGTGATGGGAAAAAGGCCAAAAAAAGCTCAAAAAAAGCTCAAAAAAGCCCAAGAAAAGGTTTGAAATCTCGAAAACGAACGTTCAATTACAAAATTTACAATGAAAGTTTACTTTTTCGTTTATTTGAAACAAATTAAAGCTAAAAAATTGTCATTAAATGAAATAAAATGAATAAAATAAAAAAATTGAATTAGATTTTTAAGTTAAATTTTAAAATTCGATTTAAAAATGTCTTATAGATGGTGTTTATAGATGAAACCATTTTCGTGGAGAAAAGGAGCCAAATTTGTGGGCAAAAAGGAACCAAATCTGTCTAGAAAAAGGAGCCAAATTTGTAGACAAAAAGGAGCCAAATCTGTCTAGAAAAAGGAACCAAATTTGTGAGCAAAAAGGAACCATTTTTGTGGAGAAAAAGAACCAAATTTGTAGAAAAAAGGAGCCAAATCTGTCTAGAAAAAGGAGCCAAATTTGTGAGCAAAAAGGAACCAAATCTGTCTAGAAAAAGGAGCCAAATTTGTGAGCAAAAAGGAACCAAATCTGTCTAGAAAAAGGAGCCAAATTTGTAGACAAAAGTGGATAAAATTGCTTTTTTTTCAAATTTACTTTACTCAACTGATTTAAAAAAGCCGACAAATGAAAAGAAAAGATTCTTTCAATGTTTTTTAAACGTTTTAAAGGTTTTAAAGCTTTCGAATTTTAAGAAAACCCTTTTTTTATGTCATTAAAGAAAATTCACATCATTTTTCTATTCATCTCCATCATCACATCATCTCCGCACAAAAAGAACATTTCGATCAGTCAATTTTCCGTTTTTTCTATCTTTCTTTTGATATCGATTCATTTTCTGAGTTTTTTTTTAGAAAAATCTCTCATTTTATTTCTTATCAATTAAGTTTTATTCAATTCCTAAAATAAACTCTTTAAAAATCAAGAAAAACATAAGGATTAGCTATTGAAAGCCGTCGTAGCCGACCGGATAGGATCTAAGAGAAATTCTAATCTAAAGAGAGAAATTAAGTTGATGCCAAACTCCTTTTTAGCTTTCTCTACCAAAAACTTCCCGATGGGACTTATAGGAGCAGGGAAAAAGGTGGAAATTGAGTATTTTAGATTTACAGTTTACCGTATTTTCTGTAACAGTAGTGCAGTCTGTAATAGTAGTGCAGTCTGTAATGGTAGTGCAGTCTGTAATAGTAGTGTATAATATAATTCTATAATATAATTTTCCTTTCTTTTTCACACTAATCTTTCACCACAAAACTATTGGTTTTTCTTTGGGTTAAAAAATAGGCGAAACTATGAAAAGAATAAGAATTGATCTCTAAAAGAATGACAATATTAATCATTGATTCTTAGATTTATTTGGTGATCAAAAAAGATCAAAACTTTTTCAAAGCAAAGCTCGAATTTTCTTCCCGGAAACGTGTGGGTTGATTGTTTTTTATTGAAGAGTTTTGTTCCTTGATTCTTTTCAAATTTTTTTTCCTTTATTATCAATCTCTCTCACTCTAGTGGATCGGTGAGCAAATTTGAGGTCAAATTTGGGGATATCTCGGAAAGCAATCTTTAAAATGAGCCACTTTGGCCGTTTTGATCTCACTGGTTTAGATAAGAGTAAATTTGTGAAGTTAATTTAAGAACCTGGCTATTGTACGCTGGCTATTGTACATAGCTACCGTATCTTTGCTCTCGTACTCTGGCTAGTAACCTGGCTACCGTCTCCTGGCTAGCATCCTGGCTACCGTACTCTGGCTACCGTACCTAGCTATTGTACCTCGACTACCGTACTCTGGCTAGCATTCTGGCTACCGTATCCTAGCTAGTAGCCTGGCTACTATACCTGGCTACCGTACCTAGCTACCGTACCTAGCCATTGTACCTTGACTATCGTACTCTGGCTAGTAACCTGGCTACCGTATCCTGGCTATTGTACCTAGCTATCGTACCTAGCTATTGTACCTCGACTACCGCACTCTGGCTAGCATTCTGGCTACCGTATCCTGGCTAGTAGCCTGGCTACCGCACCTAGCTATTGTACCCTGGCTAATACCCTGGCTAGTTACCGTAACTATTATTCTAAAGTCAAAGTCAGTACAACACTTTGTCTACTTTGTCTGATTTCCTAAAAGATGGAAAACTGCCGTATTTTAGCTAACTTTTTAAACCACCGCTACAAAAGCGTTGTTTTTCAAAAGAAGATAGCTTCTCAGGACTACGGTAGCATTTCCTATCTTTTAAGAGATTGATAATACAATAATGTTTCAAGCAGTATTTCTAGTAGAATTTTCACAAAGCATTTCATTTCAACGCAAATTCACGAGTTTTCCCCCCTAAACATCACCTTGTTCTCAAGCGATTTTTGTTCTCAAGCTTGTGCTCAAGCTTGTTCTCAAGATTGTTCTCAAGCTTGTTCTCAAGATTGTTCTCAAGCTTGTGCTCAAGCTTGTTCTCAAGCGAAAACAATACCCGCAATTCTTCCCCGGTGTGCAGACAACCAAGAAGCGGAAATTTTTGGTTTTATGCCCTTTTCGACGTCAATATTTCCATGGGAACTCATTTCGAGAGCCGATTTTCGTTTCTTTGAATTCAAAAAAAGCCCCTTTTCCCTTACAATCCAGGGACTTTGATTTAAATCTATTCTTGTAGTTTTTAATCGATTATGAAAGAAATGAGGAAAAACGCTAATCCGAAGCCTTGCCGACCCCAAAAACCTACCAGAATCTTGGCAATTTTTTGACAACTTTTGAGATGTACTTTTGTGCTTAAAAATGGAAACATACACATCATGAAACACAGAACGAAACCCAATAAGTCTAGCCAGAGCTTCTGGTTTTGGGCCGGTCAAATCTGCTCGAATCGAACATTATCGGCGTTAAAAACTTCATTGAAGTAGGAAAATCAGTGCACTAGAAAGGATATACATTTTCGAGTACATTTCAAGAGGCCATGATCGGTACAACAATCTAGCGAGGGAATGGTCAGAAGTGACCGTGAGATTTTGTTGCCAAAATGTGATGCAAACACCTATCGAATATGGCGAGTACGATGGTGCTTTCAGATTTTGCTTTCAGATTTTGCTAAGGATAGTTTTCAAGAAAAACGCCTTTGAAGTTTCGGCATCAACTAAAAGACACGCTTCTTTAAAAAGACTTCTTTCGGGAAAATGAAATGTCTTCTTGTGGTCTGCTGGTAGAGTTCCTAGTACCCGGTATCAATCTAGGGCCCCTGGTTCTAGGGCTGGTATCAATCTAGGGCCCCTGGTTCGCTCCCAGCCAGCGCCATTTCTTCGCTTTTTTTCCAACTTTGTATTTTTTATATTTTGAAGGGTTATAGAACTTTTACATATTTGTTTCGATAGGTGTTTGCATCAAATTTTGGTGCCGAAATCTCAGGTCACTTCTGACCATACTCTTGCAAGCTAATGGCCAAAATCTAAAGCAAGCTTTTCCTGCAGTTTCTGTTTTCTTGCAATCGATAAGTGTTCTATGGAGGGACACGAGAGCAATCTTTCTCTCTTTTCACTTTGCCCCTTGCCCACTTTTTTTTTTGATTTTTTTGGGTTCAATCCCCTCGTGGTTCGATTCGGCACAAACAACGAGTGGGAAATGCACGTAGAACACCGCATTTTTTGAGCTCAAATTTCGTTTTTCCTTGTCAGCTGTAAATATTTAGTTAGTCAATAGTTGAGACTTATTTGATTGGGCTTTTGATTTGATATAATTCCTTGTACAGTCAAAGCATCGTACATTTACATTGTACATTTACATTGTACATTTACATTGTACATTTACATCGTACATTTACATCGTACATTTACATCGTACATTTACATCGTACATTTACATCGTACATTTACATCGTACATGTTCTTAGCCTTACTCCTAAAGCTAATCAATCCAGAAGTGTACTGTTTAGATATCAAGATTTATTGAAAACATTTTGCTTTTCTCTTTTATACAAAAGATACCACTTTTTCCCCCAACTTGGCACACAAAAATCGAAAGATTTTTTTCGTAAACAGCAGATTATACTATCTTTAAGCATTTCCTAGTCAAAGCGGCTTTTTAAAAACGCAAAGAATTTTCCTTTGTTTCCATGTAAGTCGGTTGAAATTTTGCTTCAAAACTTGACTCTATTTCTCCAATGACTCATTTCCCTTTCTATTTGTAGAAGAATTTTTTGTTGCAGCAAAGATCTTTCTCTTTTTGTCCCTAAAATTCTTTCGGTTTTTGATCAACTGAGCGCTTTTTTCTCTTCTCATCTCCCGCCTCCCGCATTTTTTTTTTGCTTTGCTCATTTTCTCTCGATCTTTCCACGAACGCCCCCTCTTTTCCTCCTTTATTAGTTTTTTTGAACTTTGCCAATATTTCTTTTTTTTCTTTAGTTTCCTTCTTCTTCTGTATTCATTGATATTGACGTAATGGAGCTATTAAACATCATTCTAATTAAAGAGTTTTCCTCGTGAGTAATGCCTTTTTTTAAAACGCATACTTGGAAAAGAAATTATCGTACTTTTAGCAAAAATTATTGCAAAAAAATCACGATCGCCGCATTATATACGAGACTTTTATTGCAAAATTATTGCAAAAAAGAAGCACGTGTCTCTAAGTGCTATCTTAATCGGAAGGTTCGAACCCCATCCACATGGTCACCCCTTCGGTTCTTCCCTCGGGTTGGGGTTTTCTGGAGGGTTGGTGGCTTGCCAGTCTTTAGTGCAAGCCCTCCTTCATCGCATCTCCCTTCCCACCAAAAGCTATTTAGTTCCCCATTGGCTTGGGTTGGGGCCGTCTGTATGACGTGGGTTAGTTAAGATATGCCTAGTATTGTGTGTGTGTTGTTTGTGATTGATATATTTCGTGTATGCGATAAATTCACCACTGGTAGCCCCAGTCGGTATTTTTTTTTTTAAATTGAGGGGTGGGACAAATGCGACCTTTTTTTTTTGCTGGAAAAGGCCTTAGGCAAGGCCGTAGAGCTTCAAAAATGTTTTCATGGAAGGGAATCGTATACGTAGATTGCGAATTTCGACAAATCAGACCTCGCTGACACGTCAAATTTGGGCTAAAAGGCAAAAACTACGCAACTTAACGCTTTTCCGCAGTTTCCCAAAAATTGATGCAAAAATCACGAGCACCGCATTATATACGAGACTTCTTAAAGATGCTCAGCTGTTTAAATGATTTGATGAGAAATTGCCTTCCAATGAAAACCCTCCAATTAGAATGATGTTCAATAGCTCGATTACGTCAATATAAATGAATAATGAAGAAGAAGGAAACTAAAGAATCGAAAGAATTTCAACCGATATTGCATTTACTGCATTTACTGCATTTACTCGTCATGTAAAGAGGATTACTCGTAGTTAATCGACGAAAAAAAACGTCGATTAATCGAGTAAAAATTACAAATGCAAATTTTACTCGCTCGCAAGAAACAAACTCGATTTCTTATACACTACAGTTCTAGAAATCTTTAGCAATTGTACGCTAACTGTTAGCGTTTTTAAATGAAATCAATGAGAGTCAAAAGGCTTTAGAATTAAGCTCTAGAATGAAGATGAATAACTTAAAGAGGCTTAAAGATGAATAACTATTCATCTTTAAAGATTAAGCTCTAGAAAAAGTTATTTATTTAAAATCAAGCTCTACTATAGAAATCTGCAAGCACTTCCGAGCATTGAATGCATGAAGAAAATCCCGCAAATCTTATCAGGCTTCCACCACGAGTGTGCCGCGTGTAATCGTAAAAATTTCTCATCAAAGTCGCTGACAATGCGATATTTTTGATTCCCATTTCAGCATTTTACTCAAAAATTTTGAACAATTTCTCTTAAAGCTTTTGGGTTTTTTGAACCTCTTGGGTTGCCGAACAAACGCCGATTCAGCCATTCGATTCAAGCTTTCTTTGTCCGCTTTTGTTTACGCTTTGAAAACTATACTAGAGAGAATCTATTTATATTTTTTTTCTGTTCTTTTCGCTGAACTCAAATGATTGCATTGAAAAGATGAAAAGTTTGACAATAATAATAGATTTTTTTTTAAACAATTATGTTCTAAACGTATGTTCTAAACGACAACAGTTATCGTTATCAAAGCCGTAATTTCCGCCGTAAAATTTCGTCTAATTTCTCATCGAATCAGACCAAAAGTAAGCTGATTTGACTATAATAGCTTTTCAAAATAGATATCTTCGCTTTGACCTTGGGAATTACAAGAAATAAAATCTATTTTAATTACGGGTTTTGTAGGTTAAAGAATGGTGAAATTAGATGTTAAGATGATGTTAAGACGATGTTAAGACGATGTTAAGATGATGTTAAGATGATGTTAAGATGATGTTAAGATGATGTTAAGATGATGTTAAGACGATGTTAAGATGTTTAAGAATGGTGAAATTAGATGTTATGTTAGATGTTTTCATTCAATCCAGAGTCAAACAATTTGGAAATGGCAAAATAGCGGCATAAAATGAATTGGCAATTATTGGCTCAAAAGGAATCATCCTCTTTCATTCATTTTCTTTTCATTCATTTTCTAAATGCTCACTTCACTTTTTAACTCACTTATAAAGCGAGAAATTTGTCGAAAATTGCTAGCAAATTTGGGCAAAAGCATTTGCTCTAATAATTTGAGTATAGTAACGCGAAGAGCCCAACGATCTACTAGTTAATTACCCAGACTATTGTGATTTTCAGTGTTCAAACGTCGCCAATACCTTTTTCCTCATCATTCCCTCAACCAGCTTAATACTCGAAGGGGTTTTTGTTCTCAAAAAGAGCCATGTGCTTTGCTTGCCTTTTCTCTGTTTCCTTTCCCGTTCTCCGAGCACACTTCGTTTTTTTTTTGAGGGCATGGGCATCTCTCCATTCCATTCGATTCTATTTCTTTTTCTTTTTCTTTCTTTTTCTTTTTCTTTCTTTTTCTTTCTTTTTCTTTTCCCTTTCCTCTTCACACACTTCTCTCATTTCACCCGCAAATTCCCCTCAAAAAAAACCGATAGTTGACCTTTCAATTTTCAATTTTAGCCTCTTTAGCCTAATTCTTTCGACTTTTGTGTCTTGATTTTAATAATTTGAGATCAATCTTTTGCCTTGTTAAGAGTACTTGTTCTGTACTGTACTTTGTCAAAATGGAAACATAACCTTTCTAGCGCACTTATAGCTGACAAAAAACATGTAATTCATGATGTTTCCAACTTTTAAGCTTAGGCTCATTGCACTAAACAGAAGAAAAAGCTTGATCCATAGCTGTGTTAAATGAAAAGCTATCCTTTCCGACGTACTCATAGAACAGTTTACTGTAATAATCTACTATAATATCTACAGTAAGAAAATTGTTGTACGTAATAAGCTAAACTCATTATCAGATCAAATTCAAAGCTTCAGCTTTGAGATTTTCTCTTACTAGATTTAGATTTGAGATTAAAATTTGACTACACGATCACATAAAGAAAACAAAGTCGGGTTTAACAACGCTAACAACAATTTCTCGACCTCAAGACGTCAAAAGTCTTATCCAATTAGTTTTCGAAGCACCGAATCACCAAAAATTCATCAAGTTCATTCACCGAATTCTTCTTTAGTTCATTCAATCGTCTCACCTCCTTTACTAGCTTTAGATTTTGACATCAAAATTTGACTACACGATCTCATAATCGCAAAGATTTCCTTTTTCTCGTAATGAGGCTTTTCGTTAAAAGAGGCCAAAAAAAGGAGGGGAAAAAAAGCCGCGGAAATGGAATTACTAAGTGAATGACTGTGGGAGAGTCATAAAGATCGAATAAAAGAGAAAAAATTGCAAAAAATTGATTTGAAAGGTAAGATTTAAGAAAAAAGAAGATGAAAAGCAGGTGAGAAGTGAATGAAATGAAGGAGAAGAAGAAGAAGAAGAATTCTGCTAATGAACTTGATGAATTTTTGATGATTGCACTTGGGCGGTGATTCGAAAACTAATTGGATCAGACTTTTGAGGTCGAGAAATTGTTGTTAGCGTTGTTAAACTCGACTTTCTTTTCTTTATTTGACTCTCCCACAGCCATTCACTTAGTAATTCCATTTCCGCGGCTTTTTTTCCCCTCCTTTTTTTGGCCTCTTTTAACGAAAAGCCTCATTACGAGAAAAAGGAACTCTTTGCCTAAAATTATTGCCTTTTTGTTGCTCGATCAAAGTGGCATTTTATCAGAAACATACAAATTGCAAGAAAAGATCAAAGCAATTTAGAGAGGTTCTCTTTTTTTTTACTTGAAAAAGTTGGATCATTACTGTTTTTAATTCGTAAACCCAATTCAATTGCTATTTCTGTATAGCTGTATAGCTTCAATAGCTATTTTCTGTATTTGGAAAAATTTTCTCCCTAAACGATTTTTATTGAGCTCTATTTTACACGCAAAAAGCAGACCCATTTTTAGAAAAGTCATGTGAAAATTTCTCAAAGTCTCATTGAAATATCGTTTATCTGATCTAAAACTTTTGCATCTAATTTTTGCATAACTTTTCAATCGAAAACCATTTCCAGAAGACACCCTGGACGCTCTGCTAGCCGAAAGTCTTGATGAGCCGGTGCTCTCGGCGATTCGCGCGAAGATTGCCGACAGTCAGCGCCAGATTCGACTCCGTCTTGATGAGGTGAGGAGTTGGACTGGAATGAAGTTACTGTAGTTTGTTACAGTACATCTAGGTTAGCATCAGAGGCTGTTCTTGGCTGTAAAGCTTACTGGTTACTATAAGCTATGGAATGAGTTTACTGTAGCTTACTGCTTTGAGTTTACCCTATGAAATGAAGCTAATTGTGAGCTAGTCAAGCAGTTGACTATGTGGTTACTGTAAGCTAGAAAATAAGCTTACTGTAGTCGCTATTAGTTAGCTATTTGGTTACTGTAGCTACTATTAGTTAGCTATGTCTTTACTTAAGCATTAGGCTTTACTAGTTGAACAGTACTTCATTTCATGTTTCATCGTACTCGTGTTCAACTAGTAAAGGTTAATGCTTTTCATAGTTCACCGTAAAGACATAGCTAACTAATAGTAGCTAATAGCTAACTAATAGCAACTACAGTAAGCTTATTTCCTAGCTTACAGTAACCACATAGTCAGCTGCTTGACTAGCTCACAACTAGCTTCATTTCATAGGATCAAAGCAGTAAGCTACAGTAAACTCATTCCATAGCTTATAGTAACCAGTAAGCTTTACAGTTTCGCTTAAGGCTCTAGCCAAGAACAACCACTGATGCTAACCTAGATGTACTGTACTACAGTAAGCTGAAGTGCTGCTCAACTAGTTCTAGTACTAGTTCTATGAACAAAACCATTCCTTTCTAGGTAACTCAAGAACGAGACGTGCTACGAACCGAGAACCAGGCTCTTCGCCAGCAATATGTGAGCCTGTTCCAGTATGTGCAACACAATCAACCCCAAAAACAAGCCACACCGCAAATCCAAACAAATCATCAGCCTGGCTTTCAGCACATCAATTTGGCGCTGTTGAGTGGTGTAAAGGTAAAGATCAATCTTTTTGACAAAGTTATTTCAAAGTTCTTTTTTTAAGCAACCCCAACTCAACCAAGGGCCACAAATCGGTGCAGTGAATCTCCAGAATAACACTATTTTGTTGCAAGCACTTTTACAACTTCAACAACAACAGCAACAACAGCAACAACAACAGCAACAACAACAGCAAAACCAATTGCAGGCTCAGGTTTGTCTTGAGAAATTTCTCTTTTCTTTTTATCTTTATCTAAACAAATATTTTTTTCTAGATCATTTCTCAAATCAACGCTTTGGCCTCAATGGATCCATCGATTCTTGTGAGCTTGGGAATGAATCCATCAGCTTTTACGTCGGCTCTCAATAACAAAGCTGTTCAACTACCCACCGCCCAACAAATGGATCCTCTACGCGCTCGACTCTCATAGGCGTGCGCCAGAAACCGCGCGTTTATCAGAGCCTCAACTACTTTTCGGCTTTGAAACTCACTAAAGTTCGCCTCGCTTCGCGTTTACTTGACCAAAGTACGCATTGGCTTTTTCAATGCTTATTTCAATTTCAAATTTCAAATTTCAATCTTTTCCTCATTTCTTTTCACTCCTTGCCATGTCCCAATGTTTTTGGAGGTTTTCTTCTTCACCCCATTTAGCTCAAATAGTCCAAATTCGATGCATTTTCCCTTGTTTCATTCGGTTTCCTTTTTCCCCATGGTGCGAAGCCATTTTTTTTTGTTATACTTCCACAAGATTCTACGGTTTCCCCCCCTACAGCTATATTTTGATCGTTGTTTTGAAAAATTTTCGTGTACAAAAGGTTTTCCGATTGTAACTGGGCCTCTTTTTGAAGTTTTTGGCAGTGACATGACTCGAAATCTCGAGGTTCCGCTCTCGACTAGCTTTCAAGGTGCGCGCCTTACCACTGTGCCAAGCAGACATGGCCAAAAAAGGACAGGTTGACCAAAAAGTGGTCCCACTGTTCATTACTTTCCCCGAAAAATTGTTACGTTTGTTTTTGGCAGTGACGTGACTCGAACCCTCGAGATCCCGCTCTTGACTCGCTCGAGAGTTGCGCCCCTTACCACTGCGCCAAACAGACAGGTTGGCCTCCCAAAAAAGGTTCCCAATGTTCATTACTTTCATGGAAGAAATGTTACGTCTGTTTTTGCCAGCAACGTGACTCGAACCCTCGAGGTTCCGCTCTTGACTCGCTCGAGAGTTGCGCCCCTTACCACTGCGCCAAGACGACAAGCTAGTGGCTGCCGTAAAAGTCTGACAAAAAGAGGCCCCACTCCACTGTTCATTACTTTCCCCAAGAAAATGATACCTCACTCCAAAAAATAGAGAAACACATTGATACAAAGATTTTCTAATAAAATTTTTTTTTGTTTTCTGTATGGGTTCGTTTCTATAAAAGATAAATCAACTAGTCAATTGATAAAATTCATTTTTTTTCCATTTTTTTTTTGACGAACCTGTATCGCCAACCATCGTGTACATATAAAATATTCAGGGTTTTAGTTTGGAAAGATAAAAATTAAAATTGGCTCTGAAAAGTGATACTTCTCGCTAGATTTTTACCCCCATATATTTACAAAATTACAAAATTATTTGATATTTTCCAAATTTTTATTGTTAATTCTTTGAATTTGAATTTGAATGAATTTGATTTTCTTTGAATTTGAATCAATTTGAATTTGATTTTCTTTGAATTTGAATTTCTTTAAATTTGAATTTCTTTAAATTTGAATTTCTTTGAATTTGATTTTCTTTGAATTTGATTTTCTTTGAATTTGAATTTGAATGAATTTGAATTTGAATTTCTTTGAATTTGAATTTCTTTGAATTTGATTTTCTTTGAATTTGAATTTCTTTGAATTTGATTTTCTTTGAATTTGAATTTGAATGAATTTGAATTTGAATGAATTTGAATGAATTTGAATACGGTGGATACTCTCATTCAGCTGCCGGTCTGCTCTCTTTGTTTAAAACACAAAAAAAAATTATTTTGTCTTTTCTTTTGGCTAATGTTTTTCTGTTTTTCTGTTTTTCTTTTTTTTCTTTTTTTTCTTTTTTTCTTTTTTTGAGTCAAAGTTTTATGGTTAGTTATTTCTTATTTCTTTGATATTAAATGGAAAAACGGAATTCTTCCAGGTTTTTCCTTCTTTTCCACCGACTAAAGTGTATTTATCACTCTCTTTTTGGCGATAAAAGTTACCCTTTACAGTAAACAGAAAAATACAAATGAACAAAATGAACAAAATGAACAAAATGATACAATGATACAATGATAAAAACGAAATTCTTCCAACAAAAAAAACTACAAACAAAATTTCATCGATTTTTTTCCTCAACGCAATCAAGAGCTATTAGGTTGTCCGGAAATAAATGAGCGTTTTTAACTTGAATATTTAAAATACCATAACTTGATCCAAACAAAACTTCATTAAGCGAAATAAGAACCATGACAATTAACACATTTTTGCCAATGAGAAACAAGTTTATTTATGCCGGTAGCATAGAAGTCCGAGCTTCTGGACGCGATAAAGTCGGCGAAGGCGTTTTTGGCATCGTCTTGAGTTTTGAAGCATTTCTCCCGGAGAAAGTCGTCGAGGTGCTTGAAAAAGTGCTAGTCGGTGGACGAAAGGTCCGGCGAATATTTCAGCTGCATTGCGACCGAGTTTGAACTCATAAAAGAAAATCTGGCGAAAGTTAGTTTCGGACATCTAAAAAGGCGAAGCTTAAAATTCGCAAAAAAAAATTCATTTTCAACAAAATTTAAAAGCATGGTTAAAGAGAGCGCGAACTCAGCTTTCTAATGGTATATAACATTGCAAGGTACAAAGCATACTTTATTGAGAAAAATGTACCCAAATAATAAACAATACAAAACGCTCATTTATTTCCGGACAACCTAATATTTCAAGAGCAAAAAGCAATTTCAAGCAATTTCAAGAGCATTCAAGCAATTACGATCCAATCTGTCTCAATACAAAATGCTAACAAGGGAACCTTCCCAAGTTACCCGCGAGTTACAATATGAGGTACACTACTGGACAATGAAATATCATAGTTGAAAAAAGATCGTCACTTTCGCGCGTCTGTAACTCCCTTGTCTTTACCGTATTTCTAAATATTAATATTACCATTGTGTAGCCCTTGAAAAGAGCTTTAAGAAAATGTATAACACTAATAGTTTAAACTAAAACACAAGGGAGTTACAGGCGCGCAAAAGTGACGATCGTTTTTCGAATATGATATTTCATTGTCCCAGTACTGTAAGAAAACTGTATTGTATGTAAGCAAGAAATCAAGAAACATAGAAACATCGAAAGGAGCATAGATAAGTTAAGAATTTATAGAATTTATAGAAACCGTTAAAAATCTTGAAAGCTTTTCTCGAATTTCTGGCACACTGAAGGCTTTTCGCTTTCCTTTCACCATCCCAAAAGTCAACTCGTAGCGTAGTGGTTAGTGTGCCTGCGCTCGGAACTCTCTACCATATTTTAAAATATTAATATTACTACCATTGTGTAGCCCTTGAAAAGAGCTTTAAGAAAATGTATAACACTAATAGTTTAAACTCAAAGACAACGGAGTTACAGACGCGCGAAAGTGACGATCTTTTTTCAAACATGATATTTCATTGTCCAGTGCTGTAGGTGCCAAAAGAAAGGTCTGAAAATGTACGTTCAGAAACTGTTTTCAAAAACCGCTAATCGGCAAAAGGCACAAAGTTACAGCCATTTGAATTTCGAAAAAATGAAGGCTTTTCTCGAATTTCTGGCACACTGAAGGCTTTTGGCTTTCCTTTCGCCATCCCAAAAGTCAGCTCGTAGCCTAGTGGCTAGTGTGGCTGCGCTCGGAACTCTTTGATCTTGGTTCGGATGATCTTGATTCGGATGACCTTGGTTCGGATCCACTCAAACGTCAAACGTTTTGCTTTTTTTGAAAAACATTAAAAAACCTTTTTGATTATTAGAAATTTGTCTAAATACAATATGCCAAGGGTGAAGAGATTCAGCTAACAAAGACAATTAAAGTATAATCTAATAGTACAATGGTTTCAACTTGTCCCTGGTTGAACGTGATTTTTGAATCTTTTTCAAAGGTAAAAGATCTTCAAGTAATCCAAGTAATTGAGCCTCTTTTTTGATGTTTTTGATAAAAGGCAAAAATGGTAGAAGTGACGAAACCTCGAGGCTTCACTCTCGACTGGCTTTCTTGACTTCACTTTTGCACTTTAATGCAAAAATTTCGATAAAACGAGTTTTTAGACTTTAATAATTGATTTTACAAAACTAACGTTATGATTTTCAGAAAGTAGAGGAAAGGGGAAGCTGGGGAAGGGGCTGACCAAGATGAAAAACGGTTGTTCATCTAGTTTTCGAGATTTTCGAGATCAAAAAAACGAAAATGTTCAACTTCAAAGGCGAAAATCTCAAAAACTAGATGAACAACCGTTTTTCATGTTGGTCAGCTACCCTTATTTATAAAAAAATACAATTTCTTGGACGGAAATTTATTGGAGGTAGCCTCGAGCCGTTAGACTGAAAGTCGCGAAATCCTGGGTACGCCACTTTATCGCGGTCGTAAAAGTTCTCCAAAAGGGATCCCACTCTATTGTTGATTATTTTACCCGAGAAAATGATACCCTCGACGTCTCGCTCTCTACTCGCTTTCAAGGCGCGCGCCTTACCACCGCGCCAAGCAGCCGGGTTGACCTTGACCGTAAAAGTCTCCCAAAAAGGATCTCACTCCATTGTTCATTACTTTCCCCAAGAAAATGATGCCGCTGCTTTTGGAAGTGACGTGACTCGAGCCCTCGAGGTTCCGCTCTTGACTCGCTCGAGAGTCGCGCCCCTTACCACTGCGCCAAGACGACAAGCTGGGAGCTGCCGTAAAAGTCTCCGAAAAAGAGTCTCCACCCCACTGTCCATTACTTTCCCCAAGAAAATGAAACCTCACTCCAAAAATAGAGAAACACATTGATTTGAATCATTGTCTTTGAATATGATAAAACTAGAATAAGCTAAGCTAATAGTAAACCCGATCCAGGCCTGTCTTCTATTGACAAACTTTTCGACAAACGATCAGCCGATCAGATAGCTATTGCTAAGAATGTTCCAATCGGGCCCATTGTCCTGTATATAAGCCATGTCTTTTCCTCGTTTCTAGCGGATCAAGCAACTTTTTGGGGCCAAGCCTGCAATAAAGCCATGTAGGTCAGTCCAGACATGTCCAGAAGTTAGGTCAGAATTTGGTCTGGCCTGTCCTTATCCTTTCCTCACCTGATTCGAAGCAATTCTTGTTGAAATTTTGAATGCTGAAAAGCATATTGATTTTGTGGCTATAAAAACAAGACCCAAAAGAGATAATCCCCCAATTTCGCGCATTCGAGCGAGCTTTTTTTTCGTCTAGCTGTAAAATAATGAACAAAAATTGTGATGCATTTCGCAAATTTTACCTCAACTTTTATCCTCTTTTCTTCAACTATTTTTGCCTTTGAAACAAGTTTGTTTATTGAGAAAAAAACTTTAAAAACTTGATTTTAGGTCCTCTAGATTTTGGGGATTTTTATGCAGAATGTGTCGAGAAACTCTTGAAAGATATAGGTGAGGAAAAGAAGATTTCGGTTAGCCAATAAAATTCAGTAATATTCAGTTTCTCTTAGTAAATTTTTACAATTTCAATTTTGCAATTTTGCAATTCATTTTTTGAATCGAAATTGCATTGAAATCGAAATTTTATAATCGAAATTAACAAAACAAAACTAGACGAGGAAAGGCGACAAATCTTGGGACGAGGGATTTGGGTGCAAACGAGGAGTTGGTCACCGATCACTCAACTCATGAACGCAGCATACTTTTTATCATTGGAAGCTGTAAGAAAAGTGAGGCTTGGCTTCAATATTTGTCATTTGTAACTAAACGAACAATTTACCAATAATCGAGTGGAAGAATTCTCTTTCTTTTGACACCAAACTCATAGTGATAAGTTTAAAATGAGTTTTTGATGTAACTTTTTCTCCTGAAAAAGAGATTTCTTCGTAGATTTATAGCTTCAATGCAAGTTTTCTTGCCTGATAGCTCCTAGTTTTCTTGGCTGCAAGTTTTCTTGGCTGCAAGTTTTCTTGGCTGCAAGTTTTCTTGGCTGCAAAAAACTCACTGATAGGCGTAGCGGGGAAAAGACGAAACGAGGAAAAGACATGGCTTATATACAGGACAATGGGCCCGATTGGAACATTCTTAGCAATAGTTATGAGGCGTAGCGGTAATTGTAGAGAAAAGAAGCAACAATATCAATTCTTCTCGCTTTCGCTTTTGAGTTCGCCTCACAACCGACATTCTCGAAATTTCAAAAAAAAACGAAATTTCTCCTGTAACTTGAGCGCAAGTGTTTCTATTAGAATAAATGCAATAAAGTATAGCCTGTCCTTGATGTTTTGACATCAACAGTAGACCAGTGTATAGTTCTTAAAGCTATTACGAGCTTTCCAACTGAATCTGATTTGGTAAACGACTAAAATCGATTTTTCCAGATGCCATTTATCTTTTGCCATGTTAACTTGATTTTCAGTTGCATCAAAACCAAACTGAAATCAATGAGTTCAAAATTCTCAATCAAGGCTTGTTGAGATTAAACAAAAAGTATGAGGTAATTGTCTTTTTGAGTCTTATGAAAGAAAAAAATCCAGGACAAGAATCTGAACGTGAGCGTGAGCGAAGTGAATCAAAAGATCAAGATCGACTTCTTTCAATATGAGCTTTATCATAATAGTTGTTTTCTTGAAATCGAAGAAAAACATTTACCTTTCAGATCACGAAGATTTAAATCGAAATGAGTTTTCTTTGAGCTATTTACCGATTTGGGGCCTCATCTACAACGCGAATCCGCATAATCCAAAGGTGGGCGAGAAAAGGGTTTTGAAATTTGTCAATATCGGAAGTGACTATGGAAATTCCAGGTGATTCGCGAGTTCATCACCGCCTGCGACAAGTACAATCCGATAAATTTAATGACGGTTTAGTCGATAGAAAACAAAATCAAGAAAACATTTTAGGAATATGCAAAGAGTATCTCGGTGACGGTTGGAATTCGACCAACCACGCAATCGATTGCGCTCAACGAATTGGTAAGGGAGAAAATTGTACTGACTAGGGAAAGGGACCAGGTCAAGGTGACCTTTTAATGCGAGAGCCACGGGACATTATAGAGTCGGCTATGCTGATTCTGAATATGCTTTTACTTTTTCCAAAGGAGCTCTGTAACGCGAGATATCTGGCATCAAAGTTTAGGCGGATTTTCGGAGTCCTTATAAGCTTTTTCTCTATTCCCGAAAATGAGAGCCAGTGGCGCAATGGGTAATGAGCTCGCCTCCAGAACGGTTTCAGGTTTTTTTTTCAGGTTCGAGTTCGCTCAGGTATATTCTTTTTGAGAAAATGTTTAGAAAATTTGAATTGAACTCCACTATCATTTCTAGTAGTTTGAACTCCACTTTCTAGAGCTGTCATTTCTAAACATTCTTCTATTAATCAAAGTCAAAATAAATCAATCCTGATGCCATAAACATTTTCTAACCATTTTCTCAAAAAAAAAAACAAAATGAGTATACCGGGAGCGAACTCGAAACTGGGCAAAAAAAACAGTGGAAACACTATCTGCAGGCGAGCTCACTATCCATTGCGCCATTGGAACATGCTTGGATTATTTTTCGTATCTCTAGGCTTATGTGTAAGGAATGAGTTAAACCTCTTGAACTGTTTACATTTTCTCAAGCTTTCAGTTGAGATTGGAGAGACGATGAGCGCCATGACAGTTTGCCTCCAGCGCACTACAGCTCTCATTTTCGGGAATAGAGAAAAAGCTTATAAGGACTCCGAAAATCCGCCTAAACTTTGAAACCAGATATCTTGCGTTACAGAGCTCCTTTGGAAAAAGTAAAAGCATATTAAGAATCAGCATAACTCTATAATGCCCCGTGGCTCTCGTATTAAAAAGTCACCTTGACCTTGTGCCTTTCCCTAGTTAGCTATAAAAATGGAAGCGGATTTTTTTTCTGGCACACTCATATCTTTTTCAAATCATATTTTTTTCAAATTCAAATTGAGCTTCTAACTAACTAGGGAACCTCTTGAACTGTTTACATTTTCTCAAGCTTTCAGTTGAGATTGGAGAGACGGTCGGCCGATGATCGTTTGCATTTCTACATGTTAACAATTCTGCACACTGAATGCCTCGCGTTAAGTCAAAAAGCGGTTCTTGAGAGAAAAGATCCGAAGGTTTTTGATTTAAAGAATATTATATTGATATATAGATATATAAAAATGTAATTCAGCCAATCGCAAATCTTTATGAGTACGTGGTCGTCGCTTTGAACATTCTCCAAAAGAAATACCTTCATGCGGCGAAAATCTTGAATCAGCATTCTGAATTGTGAAAAAAGTTTTGAAGATAAAGATTTATTAGAAAAGAATATTTCAAATTTTGTGAACAATAGAGAAATGAAAGCTTTGAGATCTGTACAAAACAATGTTGAAGATCAATGGAATTTGTTGGGGTTGGGATTTGTTGGAGTTGGGATTTGTTGGAGTTGAGATTTGGCTTTGGAGTTAGCTGTTCGCAGCCTGAATGATGCAATTTTTAAGATTTCAAGTTTCACAGCTAGATTTAAAATCTTAGAAATTTAAAAGCTAAGCTCTTTCTCATAGTTAAGTTCAACGAACTTTTCTCCTCTCCTGCATCCGTCGCTGATACTGTTCCCGAGATGTTTGCAATGCTGAATGCGATCTCTCGGGCACTTTCACCGTCAAGAAATTTCTCATCCTGTCCTCCAAATCGACTAGGTAATCTAAAATAAACAAATTCGATTGTAAAATTGAAATAATTTGACAAAATTTGATGCAGAAACTCACGAGAATCGGATCCACGACGATCCGTTCGAACGGGGTGAATGATCTCCGGGAATCGTGATGGAATCTGAAGCTTACTTGTTGATATGTTTTGAGCTGTAATCTATAGCTATAATTATACCATCTTGAGATATTCAATCAATAGTAAACAATCAAATTCGAGAAGTTCTACAGAGATTCCAGTGTTTACCTCATCCAAATGGAATTCGGTCGGTCGATCGGGGATGAGAAACGATGAGTGAAAGAGAGGAGATCGGCACACCTGAAAGTTGCTGATACTGCTTCAAACAGTTGCTCTAAGGAAAAAGAATTTCCTCAAACTCTACCCTGATACTATTACCCTATAACAAAAAGGATATTTATAAGGAAACTATTTCGCACGAGTTAGCTATAAAATCCATCGTTTTAGTCCAATCAACCATCGTTGATTGGACTAAAATTGGTTTATAAAAGAAATGTACTGCAGTAGTACTGCAGTAAAAGTACTACGTAAAAGTAAAAAGTACTGCAGAGGAGCTAGAAGAAACTTGAGTTTCTAGATTTTTTTTTTACAGTTTACTAAATTTGTTCTTCCAAAAATCGACTCATCGGAATTCAATCATCAAATTTCACCAAAAGAAGTCAGACTCTAGTTGTGCTTGTTTGTGCTTGTTTGTGCTTGTTTAACGATTCTTCTCTTCACTATTTAACCCATTTCGAATCTACGAGACAATGACAAAGACAAAGACAATGCAATTAAAAATGTTCGAATCATATTTGAGTTTTGCTTCTTCTAAGAAGCTTGTGAAAAACTCGATTTTTTCGACTTTCCACAGGCGTTTCTAGGCAAGTAAAAGGTAATAATTTGGAAAGGTAAAAAAGTAACTAAAAGTTGTTAACGTTGTTGCTGTTAATTTGTTAAGTTTTTAACGTTGGGCTTATTGATAAGTTTGTTTTCTTTTGAGGATTAAACTTGTAAAAAAATAGGCTCTTAACTTAGTGATCTATTGATTCTAATAAATGTTGAAGTAACGAGTACTGTAGTACTGTAACGAGTACTGTAGTACTGTAACGAGACAGGCAGTTGTTGGTTTACACAAATCTTAACCTTTCCAAGTTTTTTCTAAACCAACAGCAAGACTTTAACTGTAAACATATTAAGTTTTAACGCAAAAATAAAGTCAAAAATGAGTAGAAGAGAATTGAATTGAATTGAATTGAATTGAATTGAATTGAATTGAATTGAATTTACCTGAATTGGCGGTTTCGCAGCAATTCCCTTTCCGTGCATGTGCTGTAAGAAGTGTCGAGGGATCGAGTGGAGTGTCTGCTCACAGATCCGTTTCTTGTTATCGGATATGCTTTCAGATGTGTCGAAAACCTCAGAAAACTCGACAAACTGAAAAGATTTTGTTTAGTTTCTTTAATTTTCTTACTTCAACAGCATCCCTTGGTGAATGTTTCTTTTTGGCGCAAAGCTTTTGGAAATGAGTGAAATCGCCGTTACCAATTCCGATTAAAATGATCGACAATGAAGCCTCGGCGGCGGAAAGAAGAGCGGCTAGGGTGTCCTGGAAAATTTAGAAAATAGATAATATATAAATAGATACTTTATAGTCATCAATCGTTCTTCCAGTTGTGAAGATCGCCAACACGTGATAGTGGAGTCCGGAGGCGTGCTGTTGTGCAAGTCTGGAAAAATTTTTTCTGTTCGTATCAACTTTGGTATTGTGTTTATTGGAAATTCACTATGATTTCCTCTAAATAAAAAGTGTTTCTTGTTCAATTTTCCATCATTTTAAGTCAATTTCCGTTCACTTTCGAGCAAATTCGAAAGGGAAAACACGGGTTTTTCGTGGAAATCTATAAAAATCTCTACGAAGAAATTGGGTAAACGAATCTCTCTGAAAATTTGACTATATCCCAACCTTTTTATGCTCTATCTTTTCCCCATTGACACAAAGATAGGTTTCCTTAGATAAAAACGTTTAAACCTCATCATCGAGCTGTCACTCTTTTTGACTAGCCGTCAAAAAGGGTGACTTCATGCTCTCAAAAAAATCCAAACATAACATTATGGAACTTGCTCCCAAACGACATACGAGAAATTCAGTCGCTTTTCATATTCAAGAAACGTATCGATGCTTTAGATCTAGTGGCTCTTTGCCGTAAGTAATTGGCTTATTGATTTCAGTATGTATTGTATGATTAAGTATCACTGTGCATTTCTCTATGATTTCTTTCACTTTATCGTTTGAATAAAGTATTATTATAAGACATTTTAAACCCGTTTTAATGTTATTTTGCAGGAAAATAAATGATCTTTCTAATGAAAGAAATCGTAGTTCAATTGGTGCATTTGTTGCTTGGTTTTGTTGGTTTTAAACGGAAGTACGAAAAGAAACGAAAAGATTGGACAGCCAAATATTGGATTGGTGAATTGAAAACTGCGGGCTATTGTCATATGTGACAGTTTGAGCACTTTTTTCAAAAGAAACCCATTTTGGGGTCAATGGAAAAGTTGTAGAGAATCAAAAATCAAGCTTATATCCAAATTTTCAGAACGATTCAAAAACTGGTTTTCAAGAAATGCCAAATTTACGAATTTTCACAAAACTTGCATTTTAAGCGAAACTACTAAGTGTATCTTTTTGGAAATTTGGCTATAAGCCTAATTTTTGATTCTCTACAACTTTTCTATTGACACCAAAATGGGTTTCTTTTGAAGAAAGTCATCAAACTGGGACCTCTCCAGTCCTCGATTTTTGAGTCTCACACTTGTCTCACACACAAACCAAAATCCTACTACGAAAGAGGAATCCGCAAATTGCCTGTAAAATGGGCAGAAGTCGTCAATAATAATGGAAATTATTTGAAATGAATTGATTGTTTTATGTTGAATAAATTTTAGTTCAAAGTCCGGCAGTTTTCAATTCACCAACCCAATAGTTAATTACCCAGATTATTGTTATTTTCAGTGTTCAAACGTCGCCAATACCTTTCCTCATCATTCTCTCAACCATCTTAATACTCGAAAGGGTTTTGTTCTCAAAAAGAGCCATGTGCTTTGCTTGCTTTTTCTGTTTCCTTTCCCGTTCCCCGTTCTCACTTATATCATATTATATCATCTTATATCATCTTATATGATCTTATATCAACTTTATCAAGTTTATTTCACTCACCGAGTCACATAGTTGATGATGGGCGCGTAAAATGACTGATCGGCGGATCGAATGAGTTGAGCCGCTTTTCGATAGGCTTCCGTCACGCCGTCCAGCCCGCGACAAGCTGGATCCATCGAGAAGTTCTGAATCAAAAGAAATCAATCATAAGCTTTAATACAATTTTGATCAGTTTCATAGATTTTTCTATAAGATTTTGTCTTCCCAAATTACTCAAACCCACCAAGCAGAACTCGTGAGACTCTTGAAACATTGGCGGCACTTTTGCCCCAAAGCCGAACGCCGGGAAAAGGCGATTACTGAAAGGAAATCTCGATAAAAGAATAATTTTGAATAATTTTATCAAAAAAATTAATTTTTCACTTACGGACTGTAGTCTCGAATGATTTCTCCCATAGCACGCATTGCTAGGATGAAATCTGTATCGAATTTCGTTCGCTCGCTTGCCGAAAACTGTTCGTGACCGGAGAAATCGACAGCGATCTCGAAATGAAGTTGAGTTCTGAAGATTTCATTTGTATATGTCGTAGCCGATGAAGGATTTCAGCCGATGAAGTCTCAAAAATGAAATCTTGAGTTATGTATTGACTCAAGTCAATACCACAAACTCAAGCTCTCTAAAAGTTGTCGATCATCTAATGGAAATATTCGGAACGTTTGGAGCCCCAAAAGGCGCTTAAAAGCTAAAAACGCATTCTAGTTGCAGTTGCATTTTGCATTTTTCATTGCAAGTTGCATTTTTCGACCAAATTAAACAACAAAAATAAACAATAATACCAAAAAGCGAGTTTATAAACAATAATAAAACAAAAATAAACAATAATACCACCGGTTCACGAGTTCTTTGACCTAAAAGCAAACAAAATAAAGCGTCATAAAGAAATTCGATAGAACACAAAAGTAAAAGTTTACTAATCTGTTGGCGAACTCCTTTCCGTTGTCGGACTGAAGAATTTTTGGGGCTCCAAACGTTCCGAATATTTCCATTAGATGATCGACAACTTTTAGAGAGCTTGAGTTTGTGGTATTGACTTGAATCAATCAATCAATACATAACTCAAGATTTCATTTTTGAGACTTCATCGGTTAGCCGAAGAAGTCTGAGACTTCTTCGGCTGAAATCCTCATCGGCTACGACATATATAAGATTATATATTGAATTAATACAATTCCCTTAAACGAACCCGCTCACAATGTAGTCCAAAAATGAATAAAATGAGACATCAGTGAATTTCGTTAACTCGAATCGTCCACTATTGTCGTAGTTCTGAATCGCTTCATTATTTTTGCGATTTTATCCAGTCAAACCTTTTTCTGTTGTTTCTTTGTCTCATTGATCACATTGTAGACGTTATCTGGACCGGCTCCGTACTTCATTTTAGCATATGTGGTTAAGAATTTGCCGATCACTGCCTCCGTGTTGTCAACGTCTCGGTAGAAAACCCAAACCTCGAGGAGTCTGTAAGCATGATAATCTTAGAAAATATATCTTCAAAATCTTAGATTAATATTCTAAAATATTCTTAATCTCTATTTTCAAGAGAACAATAATATACTGAAAATTTCTATAGGGTTTAAGGCTCTAGATACTTTAGCAAGGCTACAATTGAATCCAGATAACTGTAAATCTTAAGACGAGTAAATCACTGAAGAAACTCTTTCAAAAGCATTCACCGATTCCTGTCATCCGCCACTTCTCGTGTCGGCAATGAGAAAGCTTTCCATTGTGGGTGTGAATGATTCTTGATAGCTTCACTCTCATACAACATCACTCTTTGATCGTCCTCTTCACCCATTGGATCCTCTTCAATTCGATAAACCTAGATAGGATCATTAACAAATCGATCTTTGCCTAGATTTGATCATTAACAAAACGATCTTTGCCTAGATCAGATCACCAACAAATCCATCATTGACTAGATCAGATCATCAACAAAACGATCTTTGCCTAGATCAGATCATCAACAAATCCATCATTGCCTAGATCAGATCATCAACAAATCTATACATTGCCAATAATCTCTCCAAAACTTAAACCATTTTTGTTCAAGTTTAAACAAAAAAAAATTGAAATTTTACCCTAAAGAAAACAGCCGTCTCGTCCCAAATGAAATCCTTTTTCTCCAAGCTTTTCCCACAAAATTGAATGACGATCGGTTGTTCCTTGTCGGGAATGCAACCTGTACGATTTTTCTTGAGGAAATGAGCTTTTTTTTACATTGTAAAACTCACCAGTGATCGTGATTCCACCAACTGGACTAGGCAGACTCCGATGCGCGTTCATCGCCGTCCCAATTGAGACTTCTCGACTAAATTTGACCGGCTATATTAAAGCAATCCGGCCAAAATTGCCTATTTGTTCTATGTAGATTTTCATTACCGTATTTTCCCCTGTAGTTAAAGTAAGTAGTAATTTGGATCCTTATCAACTCAAGAATGTATCAGAAGTCACAATAATTAGCATATACTTTCAAAATAAACCCTCAAATCAAAAAAAAAATCACTTACTGTAAAGCTTTTCTCAATTGCAATCCAAAAGAACCGGTCAACTCGTCCAACTTGAAGATACAAGCACCAATCGAATTGTTGGCTAGACGAGTCGGTGATGCTCGAGCATTATATGAACAACTGAATATTTGATTTTTATTTGATTTTCATTTGATTTTCATTTGATTTTCATTTTATTTCCATTTCTATTTCCATTTCATTTCCATTTCAACTTACATATTGATACGAATCAATTGATACTTTTCAAAGACGTATCGCAACGGGAAACGATCACGAAATTTAATCGTCGAACTCTGACGAGTAACCGGCTTCGAGCAGCCAACCTAAAAATCTTTTAATAAATTGAGCTAAGTTTTATTTTAAGTATAACATTCATAAATTAACTGTTCTCGAAATTCTCGAAAGTTTCTCGAAAAAACTCTGATGTTAAAAGACTTTTGTCCATCAATTTTTCGCTCAATTTTTGTTTTATTAAAAAGTTCATGACACCTGATAAATTGTCAAATCCATCTTTTTGTAATGTTAAAGAGAATTCGAGAATTAGAGAATTAGAGAGATATTAGAGAGATCTTTGTAATTAGAGATAATAAGCTCTTTAAATCTTTTAACCGTTTGCAAATTGGTCGGATTTGGATCAAGATCTACAAAGAACAAACTTCTAAAATCAACGTTAAAAGACTTTTGTCCATGACTGTAACATTATCGTCTTTGAAACGATGAGTTGCATTTTAAGAGGTAAAATTGAAACTAAAATCAATCCCAAGCTCTTATTCTTAAACCTTTCTATATTTTTTTAACTTTATGAAATCTTTTAACATTTTTTCTCTCACTAAATTCCATCGATCCTCATTGTCTGAGTCGTTTTCGTAAACAGCGCAAACAAATCGGTTCTCATTTGATGTTTGCGGGTGTTGCAAGTCTCGGAATCTATAGAAATCGATTAAAAAATATATACCGTATTTTCTCTAATAGTAGTGCACCCCGGCGAGCCGAGTTGGTGGCTATTTTACGGTTTCCAAGCCTTTGCAGAAGCTCAACACTCAAATCCTCCACTAGATCTCATCGTCAGCTACATTTTCCGACCCCACATCGATAGGTTCTGATAAGCGGTTCTCGAGATTTCAAGGAATTTAGGCGACGCTCAGGGTGCACTACTATTAGAGAGAATACGGTAACTTTTATTTAGAGAAGTCTAATTCAATTGGCCCATTCCCGTATTTTCTCTAATAGTAGTGCACCCCGGCGAGCCGAATTGATGACGATTTGATGCTTTCCAAAGTTTTCACAGAAACTCAACACTCAACGCTTCAGAGGATCGAGCTGCTTTTTTCAGCTCCTAGAACTTACAGAAACGGCCTAGGTCAAATCTTTGGTTTTATTCACTAAGGTGTTTAACGTTTTTGAGTATCTTTTTGTTTGTCTATTTGCATGTGAAGACCGAGTCAAAAAAGGTTTGTTCGGGTTTCTGGTCACCCTGTATAATAGCTGGTAAACCGTAGCTACAGTCTTTAAATAGTTTAAGCTAACTAACTGCCTGGTATACCGTATTTTCCCTAATAGTAGTGCAAAGCCGAGTTGATGACGATTTGACGCTTTTCAAAGTTTTCACAGAAGCTCAACACTCTAATCCCGCACAAGATCTCATCGTCAGCTACATTTTCCGACCCCACATCGATAGGTTCTGATAAGCGCTTTTCGAGATTTCGAGGAATTTAGGCGACGCTCAGGGTGCACTACTATTAAAGAAAATACGGTAAAACTATTTCCTTCTGTATGAAGATCTGTTCGTCTACAAAAGATCTTTTCCGCCGTAGTTAAGAAAATATACTATCTTAAATCTAACATTATTAACACTTTAACAATTAGCTCACCGTATCCTCACAGAAATCTCGATTTGATCGCTCATATGGCTCAGCGATTGCGGATCATTCACCGATTGACTTCGTCTAAATCAAAAAATAAGAAATTTACTGTAAATTTTAGATATAAAATGAATATTTACCTTACCGCTAGGCACATTTAAAATTTCGAAAATCTTTTGAATAAACAAAAGAACTTTTTGTTTTGTTTTGAAGAAGAAAAATTGAGATTTAAAAATTCGTTGAATCAATCCTCTTCTTCATTAAATATCAACAACAAAAAACACCTGTTTAAAATGAAATTTCTTTCGTTTTAACTTGCAAAAACTATTTATAAAGCTTAAATTCTTAATTAACTTTTGAAAATGATGAAAAAGGATGAAAAGAGCGTCAGAAAATTTGGAAAAAAATTGACTCAGAAGATGGGGAACCTCTCTTGAAATGAGGTGAAAAAAAAAAAGAAAGAAAAGAATTTTCAGAAAATTTTTCATCCCAGCCACCTTTTGCGAAATTGAATACGCATGGGATGGGGAAAAGGGATATTTTTGAGGAGAAGTGATGAGTTTTTCTGAAAATACCTCATCCAGTAAGCTATTTTTAGCTCTCTGAAGGCGTACAAAACTTGGAAAAAGCCTTTTTTTCGTTTGGTTCTTGTGAAAGCTTGGCTCTTGTTAGAATTAGTTTTTCAATGCACTTTAAAGGGGAGTGGGACAAATGCGACCTTTTTTTGCCGACCCGGACATTCGCGCACCTTTTTTTCCGCACCTTGCCCATTAGCGCACCTTTTTTCGCGTTTTAAAAAAGCTCTAAAAAGCTAATATTAACCAATTTCTATTCCAAAAGTTGTTTTTCTAGGTAATTTTAGGGCGTAGAATCGAAATTTTGACATAACAGAGCGTGTGGAACCAATTTGAAAGACAAAACGGCCAGATCAAATTGATCAAATCAAATTACAGAAAATTGTCGATCTTTCTCTTTGTATAACTACGTCCGTTCGCTTCCACAAGCTCTGATATGCCAAAATTTCGATTCTACGCCCTAAAATTACCTAGAAAAACAACTTTTGGAATAGAAATTGGTTAATATTAGCTTTTTAGAGCCTTTTTAAAACGCGAAAAAAGGTGCGCTAATGGGCTAAGTGCGGAAAAAAGGTGCGCAAATGTCTGGGTGCGCAAAAAAAAGGTCGTATTTGTCCCACTCCCCTTTAAAGAGCTCAAAAATGAAATGAGAGCTGAGAAATGAAAACGCACACTTTCTAGTGCGCTGCTTTCTTTGGTTGATTCTTTGAAATAACAAGTAAAAAGCTTAGCTATTTTTCTGGATTTTTGAATGAATTTTGAAATGAAATGAAATCAAATCAAATCAAATCAAAACCTGTTAAAGATTCATAACTTTATCTAGAGATAATATTATATTGCTAATATTATATATTGCTAACTATTTATGTTAAATTTCAACTACGATTTACAAGAACTCAAACCATATCTAACTTACAATAGATTATAAATGGTAAATTTTTAAAAGTTTTATGCTTATTATATATCTTTTTAAAGCTGGCTTTCCCATAAGAGGGACCCCTTCTCCTCGGTAATCAGTTCCGGTTCGCCGCTTTTTTGGAGTGACTGGAAATCCCACAAGGCAGTTGAAAGGCCAAAAAGTGAAGCCCCGGGGGCCCTCTGTGCACGGGCACAATGGCTCTCATCGGGTACACATTCCCGATAGATACACTACTGGACAATGAAATATCATAGTTGAAAAAAGATCGTCACTTTCGCGCGTCTGTAACTCCCTTGTCTTTACCGTATTTCTAAATATTAATATTACCATTGTGTAGCCCTTGAAAAGAGCTTTCAGAAAATGTATAACACTAATAGTTTAAACTCAAAGACAACGGAGTTACAGACGCGCGAAAGCGACGATTGTTTTTCAAATAGGATATTTCATTGTCCAGTGATGTAGGTGCCAAAAGAAAGGCCTGAAAATGTACGTTCAGAAACTGTTTTCAAAAACCGCTAATCGGCAAAACGCACAAAGTTACAGCCATTTCAAAATAAATTTCGAAAAAATGAAGGCTTTTCTCGAATTCCTGGCACACTGAAGGCTTTTCGCTTTCCTTTCGCCATCCCAAAAGTCAACTCGTAGCGTAGTGGTTAGTGTGCCTGCGCTCGGAACTCTCTACCATATTTTAAAATATTAATATTACTACCATTGTGTAGCCCTTGAAAAGAGCTTTCAGAAAATGTATAACACTAATAGTTTAAACTCAAAGACAAGGGAGTTACAGACGCGCGAAAGTGACGATCGTTTTTCAAATATCATATTTCATTGTCCAGTACTGTAGGTGCTCCTTCTCCCCAGGAAGCGAGTGGGCCGGTCCTGCCGCATTGGTCGCTATTATGCTCAAATTCTTGGGATCAATTTTTGCCTTATATTTACTGTATTTTGGTTTAAATTCTGTCCATCAAAAGTCGATATTAAGCCGATTCAGAAATGCTTTGTTGTCATATGGATAAATGGATAAAATATGTGAGCAAGATTTGCATTTTGATACAGAATAAAAATCCAGTAACTAAGCCAGTATCCTGCTTTAAAATTGCGAGCTTCTTTGAAAGGTAAACGAGATTAAAAGTTGAGGAAAATCCGTTAGTAGGCAAAAACTAGAAATTTTCTAATGATAAGACGCCAGCAGGGTTAGTCGAATCGAATAATTTGCGCATTATCATTAACAAAAGAGGTATTGAGGTAAAATAATGAGAAATTTCAGGGATTAGCCCGATACGCATTCGATTTTGAGAAAAGAAAAGAAAGGAAAGGAATGTGTTTTCTCTTTAGAAAAAGAAATGGATGAAAGAAGATCTTCTCGATTTTCTGTGAATACGTGCTGAGATTTTGTTGGAGATTTCCTTGTGTTTCCTTCTTTCTCTTCCCAAGTCAAGGTGTCGGATAGCTCAGTAGTTAGAGCAATTGAAAAAGCAAGAGGTATCGGAAAGCAAAGGTCAAGGGTTCAATCCCTTCTCCGGAAATCTTTCTTTACCTTTACTTTTTAAAAAGAAAAGTTAAAGAAGCTGAAGCTCAAAGTAAGCTCAAAGTAAGTAAAAGAAGCTCAAAGTATTTTTTAGGTAATAGGTTGATGCAATCCTTTCCACGAGAGAATCTCTGGACTCTTGCTGAAATTATTAATGATGGTTAGTTTGATAAACTTTTTTATATTCTTACTAGGGAAGTTCTTATTAGTCAGATTTATTTCCAGAAATCTAGGAGATGCTTACGTGACATTAAATGAGATTCGGGAGTACTCGCTTGGCAAGAGAATTAGTCGACAAGAGTCCACGCTCTTTGGATTGGCGCTTTGTGCTCGGTGAGTGGTCAAAATTTAGCTTTAATAGCTTTTCGTTGTAAATTTTCTGCGTATTTTATCGTATTCACTATCAAATTTCGTATTTTAGCTACCGTGTGTGTGCCGTGAATGAAAAGAAAGAGAACGAGCGCCCAATCACCGCAGCCTATCGTGCATATCTCAACGCAATGCATCTCACCGCCCTCAGCCTCGTTAATCATGTAATTTGAATTATATAGCTAGTATTTTAAAGCTATTAGGTTGATGCAAAAGTCTTTTCGTTTTTTTCGTACTTCTGTTAAAAAGTAACAAATTCACGAATTAATCTATAGTTTGCTCTATGAAAAAAGTGTTTTTTTGTTCAATTTGCATCTTTTTAAATGAATTTCGGTTCACTTTCAAGCAAATTCGAGAGTGAAAAACGCCTTTTTCGTAAAAATCTATAAAAAACTCTACGGAAAAATTGGCTGAATGAATTTCTCTGAAATTTTGGCGAAATATCAAACGTTTTTTTTCTCTATCTTTTATCTATTGACACGAAGATAGGTTTTCTTTAGCTAAGGTGTCTAAACCGCATCATCGAGTTAGCCCTTTTTGACTACCCGACTTCATACTCTCAAGAAAATCCAGGCATTAAATATTTTTAAACCCGTTTTAATGTTATTTTGCAGAAAAATAATTGGTTTTTCTAATGAAATCAACCGTAGTTTAATTGGTGCATTTGTTGGCTTGAAACGGCAGACGAAAAGGAACAAAAACACTTATGCATCAACCTAATATTTGTTGTACTTTCAGGTACTTCTAGGCACTTGTACAATACTGCATTTTTAAAAATTTTAATTTTTAATTTAAAAAATTAAGGAATGACGTGCTACAAAAGGTTAGGAAAACTTCAAAGTACAGTAATTACGCATACAAAAAGCTGCTGAACTAACCCAGCTTTACTGGGTTAGTTCAGCTTTACTTTACTCAAGCTTGAGAATGTGAAATTTTAAAAACAAGCAAAACTTGATTGTTTATCTAATAGCATTGTTGAGAGTTTTGGCTGGCTTTGAAAAAAAACGATTCCTCATAAAGTCGACGTGAAATCGGAGATGAAGGGCTTATCAAAACAGGAAAACTAAAAACAAACAAGTGTCGAAAAGCTTGTTTAGTTGATGCATATTTTCTGCTCCTTTTTCCCCCTCAAAAACCTCAGTCATAGGGCAAATTCAATCGGAAGTTGGCCATTTGAAAACGTAAACAACTGAGAAAAGAAAAGAAGAAAGAGGAGACGGGTTAGATCTTTTTAAGATCGTTAAAGATCTTAAAAAAAACGGGTCAAAGATCTTTTTAAGTTTCTAGGAAATCGAATTTTTCTTTTCATATTTTTACTAAAAATTGCTGATATTTTAAAGAAAATAACTTAAAAATAAGAAAATTTTATAGAATTTATCTCAAAAAATTGGGAATGGATCGAGCTCGAGATTTTCTAAGCCAAGATATCCGTTTTCTCAAATGTGACACCTGCAAATGAGTTTCGTTTTCATTTGAGCGTTCTGAAGACTCAGCAAGAAAAATTGCTGCTTCTTTTTTTTCAAGAATGTTTTAAGATTTCAAAAAGATGATTTGTGATTTGAAAGTTGAAGGTTTTCGAGTGAAAATTAGAGTTGAAAAATGGAGAGAAAAAAATACGCTAATCCTTTTAATGGGCTGGGAAAAAATGGCAAAAATGACAAGAGATGGTCAGCACCGGGATTCGAACCCTCGACCTCTCGAAGGACCTGCCGATTACCAGGGGAACGCCCTGCCAATGAGTTAAACGGACACGTGTGCCATCGCTGCAAAGATAGAGTCTTATACCTTACTTTCTTTAAAGAGAATAATGTCATTGCTTTTTAAAAAATGGCAAAAAATGGCAAAAATGGCAAAAAAATGGCCAACACCGGGATTCGAACCCTCGACCTCTCGAAGGGCCTTTCGCCTACCGGCCGAACGCCCTGTCAATGAGCTAAGCGGACACTTGTGCCGTTGCCGCAAAGATAGAGTCTTATACCTTACTTTCTTTAAAGAGAATAATGTCATTGCTTTTAAAACACTTTTTTCTACAATATGAAGCTCAACAAATCATTTTTTTTCAACTAATTTTTTGGTTTGAAAGTTTTGTTCTTAAAGATTTCAAAAAGCTAAAGGAAAAAAAAATGAAAATTTGATTTTCTAAACTAGAATGGGTGCTTTTTATGGCCTAAAATCAATGAATAAATCAGAAAATTTCACAAATAACAAGAAAAGCGTTTTTCTTTCTCAAAAAATTTCTCAAAACATGTGTTTTCTATGACTACACGGATTTTATTGGACATTTCAGACTCTTTTCCCTTTTCTTTTCTTTTTCTTTTCACGCAAACAACTTTTTGGGTTACGTTGTTATTGACGAATGCTCATAACTCAGAAATACGGAAGAATTTTAGCGAGAGAATACTTTCATAGAAGTCTCCCCGATAGGAGTGTCGTGTAGTCGAAAAGTTTACTCTGAAAGAAACGCTCAGCTCTCGACACCAGTATCTTTGTTTCTCTTACGCTTAGTTATCAAATTAAAGTCGAGAAAATGAGTGATCTTTGACTTTAAAAGTATAAAGTATATTTACTCGACACGAATCATGAATTACAACAAATCTTTATCCCTAATTACGCCAATTCCCTAAATGTTGTTAAGAAAAAACCCATAATGGGAAAAAGAGCGAATCTTTCTAGCCGCTGGGATCGAACCTTTAACCCCCGACTAGGAGACAAGACTCCTATCTGGTTGGCTACGACAGAACTACGGCGACGACTTGACGAAACTTTGACGACTTTGACGAATTTGACGAAAAAATACCTTTTCAAGTAAAGAAATAGTGTGTTCATAGGGAAAAATTGACGTTTAAAAAATTGCCAGAATGTTTTTGAAGTTTCTCAAACAAAAAACCCGATCACCATGAGCACCAGAATCTATGCAAAAACAAACAAAAACCCATCTATTCATTTGTATTTACATTTAAGCTTTATTTTTAGATTTTAGAGTAGTAAGCTTATAATTAAATTTACATATAAGCTTACATATAAGCTTACATTCAAGCTTACATTCAAACTTACATTCAAGTTTACATTCAAGTTTACATTCAAGTTTACATTCAAGCTTACATTCAAGCTTACATTCAAGTTTACATTCAAGCTTACATATAAGCTTACATTCAAGCTTACATTCAAGCTTACATTCAAGTTTACATTCAAGTTTACATTTAAGCTTACATTCAAGCTTACATTCAAGCTTACATTCAAGTTTACATTCAAGTTTACATTCAAGTTTACATTTAAGCTTACATTTAAGCTTACATTCAAGCTTTATTCTTTGATTTTCTTGTAGTAAGTAAGTAGTCGATGTTAGACTCTTAGACTGGATCAAGCATTTGGAATGTTTGTTTTTTTTTGTGTCAAACACGAGACAACTGTGATTGATGAATGAGTTTGATGAAAGGGTGAGGTTGTTCAAACCGTTTCACAACAACCAACAACCAACAGCTTCAAAAAAAAACTATGTCACTTACTTTGTAAACAAATGATGACATAATCAATGAAATTTTTTAGAAAAAAGGTAAATCAAGATCTACAATATATCTAGATCGAGATTCATTCTTTAATTCTAAGGTTTGCATTTTGTAAGCTGTAAAAGCTGTAAAAGCTTGAATTTGACATAGTTTGATAAGCCAAACCTATTCTTAACCAAAACCTTTTCTAAAACGTGTCAAACTTTGTAATTTTGTTTTTTTAGTTATTATTCATTATACTGTAAATACTCTAATAGACAGACTCCATAATGGCGCCAAAATCGCGAGCGTACAGTCGCGTAGTCTAACTTTGAGCGGCCCGTTCTCTATGCTGATTTATGCTACAGTGTTCGCTTTGGTGTCAAATAATAGCCCTTGAAATCGAGCATTTTTTTTTGGTGCTAAAAGTGTAGCTCGGAAAATATTAGGGGCTGAGAAAAAAAGATTTTTTTAGAAATTAGAATACACGACTGTACGTGGCGTTCTATTAGAGTATTTACGGGATCTACTTTGATCGGATTTTCTAAGAATTCACAAAGGATATTGTAAGGTACAAAAAGTAAATAGATTGGACAAAAAACTTGATAACGATCGTTTACAAATTGTGATAAAATCTCGAGATTTCAGATTTGACAAAATCCCTCACTCACCTCTTCTTTTTCAGCCGTTTTGATGAGAGTTTCCGCAAATTGTAGAACGAGTGACTGTGGGGAATTAGGCTGATCAGAGCCATTCCTTGAATTGAAACTTGAAAAACAATATAAAGAGGAAAAGGTGAATGTTAAGAGTAAATAAGAACTGAAAAAGCGTTCTCTAGTTGATTTAAAAAAGATTTTAAAAAGATTTTAAAAAGATTTAAAACACTTGATTTAGAAAAATTTGAAAACAGGAAGAACTTTTGACTTGAATCTGATGAGATTTGTTTTCAATGTTTCATTTGAAAGAACGGGAGTGGGACAAATGCTACCTTTTTTTTGCGCACCCGGACATTTGCGCACCTTTTTTTCCGCACCTTGCCCATTAGCGCACCTTTTTTCGCGTTTTAAAAAAGCTCTAAAAAGCTAATATTAACCAATTTCTATTCCAAATGTTGTTTTTCTAGGTAATTTGAGGGCGTAGAATCGAAATTTTGGCATAACAGAGCGTGTGGAACCAATTTGAAAGACAGCTAGGTCAAATTACGAATTTGAAAGACAGCTAGGTCAAATTACAGAAAATTGTCGATCTTTCTCTTTGTATAACTCCGTCCGTTCGCTTCCACAAGCTCTGATATGCCAAAATTTCGATTCTACGCCCTCAAATTACCTAGAAAAACAACATTTGGAATAGAAATTGGTTAATATTAGCTTTTTAGAGCCTTTTTAAAACGCGAAAAAAGGTGCGCTAATGGGCAAGGTGCGCAAATGTCCGGGTGCGCAAATGGGCAAGGTGCGCAAATGTCCGGGTGCGCAAAAAAAGGTAGCATTTGTCCCACTCCCGAAAGAACAAATCTCATCAGATTGAACAAATCTCATCAGTCTTTCAAATATTTCATTTGAAAGACTTCAAGCTGACTATATTCTTCAAGCATTTGCACAACGAATAAAAAGAAAAAAAAATGGAATAATTGTTGTGATCTAATTTTGTGGAGATGACTTACTCTAGGAGGGGAAAGGAAGACTCTG